AGAACCAGCCTCAAATAAGTTCTAATTAGGATTCCATGAAGACACATGTCAGAGCCATCCATATTTATTTGTTTATCCATACATGAGGATTAAGATGCCTTCATAAGGCTATGATATAATTTCAACTATAAAAAAATAGCCCATATAGAAATTCTGAAAGAGAAAAATAATCAGGGCATTTGTGTCTTGCAAGATGATAAAATTTCAATGATTAAAAACACTACAATACTAGTGCCAGAACAGTCACATTAATGGAATTAATAGAATGTCCAGAAATGGACTCAAGCACATATCATAATTTACATTTGATAAAGGAGATATTTTTTTTAAGTGAAGAAAGAATGAATTGTCAAGTAAAGATGTTGAGAAAACTGGCTATTTGGAAAAAAAATAAAATAGATCCTTCAGTCACAGCTAACACCCCCCAAAAAAGTCTAGATATATTAAGTATTCGTATTTTAAAACATTTAATAGAAATAAAAGAAAATGTAAATGAACATGTATTAATGTTGGAATGAAGAATACCTTCCTAATTCTGACACTAAAGGCAGAAATTATAAAGTAAAACATTGATTAGATATAAAAATTTAAAACCTTTCTATAGAAATGAATTCATAAAATTAAAAGACAAATGACCACTAAGAAGGAAAAATTAGTATATATGACAATGGATTAATATTTCTAATATGTGTAAATAATTCTTAAAAGCAACATGAAGCAAATTAAATAATGAAAATAAAACTTCTAAAAGTTAAAAGTGAAATGAAGAAGCAAATCTAATTATGTATTCATTTCACAGCATAACCACAGAGAGAAACTATTTGAAATGATTTTAAAACACAGTAATTTAACTGGGCATCCCTAGTGGAATATACTCTAAAGACAAAATGAACTCCAAAAAATAACAATAACAAATCTTAAACCGGTTTTCAATATTCATATTGTGGACAATAGCGTTGATATTTATTAGTATTCTGAGATTGCGATTGTGGTATTACGAGCTAGGACTTTTGCCGTGGAAGAAAGAAGAAATAGATAGATCGATGAAATAGAGTAAAATCCTGTAGTCCTGAATTTGAATGAGAAATACTAATATGAAATCATATTTTCCTAACTGTATTTCCTATCTCTGTCCACTGAAAGAGATTAGAAATAATGACAAGACGAGCAGCAAAAAGCACCCCTGGCACTCAAATTGTGTCTATATCATTTTTTTCTAAAAGAAACAAGGATTCCCTCAAGAAACTACTGATTTTGGGTCTGAGGCAGGAAATGCACAGTATGAGCCTGGATCATCTTTCATACCAGGTAGCAAGGAAGCTATCAGACTGCTAAGGTCATTCAAAAGGACACAGGAACCAATTTGAAGGGGTACCCATTGGTCAAAGATGGGACTATCTTAACATCAATAAGGATAACATCTACAATCAATTTCAAGAAATCAAATATATTTAAATATATGAGTTTATATGGTACCTATGGATGTTAGTAGGAAACCAATTCATTATTTTGGAAAGGGAAAGACTCAATGAGCTTTCTTCCCCATATAAACTATACCTACAGGCAACCAGACAGTTTGATATCGGGAATTTCTCCTCACAAAAGTTTTCCAGCTAGTAAATGCCAATGGAATGATAGAATACCAAAATTTTAGAAATTCCTAATCAGTAGGTAGGTTTAAGCAATCTTAAACATATCGACACCATGAGAAGAGGGAATCAGGCATCACTGCGCCTCCTGATTAGAGTGCACACCACCACTGATAGTGTCTTGTCAAAAAGAATCGAAAATCAAAAAAGCTGAACCTGATCAAGTATTTAGATCTAACTGCAAATTTACAGATAGTTCAGGGGAAGAGGAATATATTAAATACCACTTGGCAAAGTCCAATCTAGGGGGGGATTCTAAAAGGCAAATAATCCAATTTCTTCAGCAACAAAAATATTAAGATTACGAGGGAGAAAAGGAAGGAGGGAGGGATGAAAGGAAGGAAAGAAGGGAAGAGAAAGGGGAAGAGGAATCTATAGGTTAAAAGAGACTTAAACATGTATAGGAAAGTAGAAGATATGAACACTGAATAGATATTAGATGATGGTTAGAAGATATTATTGATTTTTGTTTTAGTATGGTGGTGGTAGTATAATGGTTATTTTGAAAAGGAAGTATAGTTTAGATACATACGGAAATATTTGTAGATATAATAATATGATTATTCAGGAGGGGGTTGGCAAGAAGTTCACAGGAAATAAGAGTGACCATGTGTTGACAATTGTTAAAGCCCAGCAATGAGGACACAGAGGCCATTATACATTCCCTTTATTTTTATATATGCTTGAAATGTTCCATAATAAAGATCAAACAGCAACAAGGAAAAATTGATTACATCAACTGAAAAAAAATAAGGACGAAGAGTATAATAATTTGTAAGAGAAGAAATAGAAATAGTCGATGTGAATGTGCAAAAAGAATTGTACATTAGAAGAAAACTAAATGTAAATTTTTTCAAAGGCGAGGTTTCATTTTTTTACTTATCACATTGTCCAAACATTTAGAGATGAACGATACCCCCTGGTGGCAAGGGAATGCAAAAATGAGCACTGCCAACCCAGACTAAATTGGCTCAGGTATCCTGGAGAGCGGTTAACCGGCAACATGTAACAAAAATCCCCAAAAGTACATGGTGAGGAGCCAGGGCTCCAGGGCCAGCCAGCCTAGGTCAGATCCCGGTGGAACCACTTACTGGTGACAGTACTCAAAGCAAGTTTTTTAACTGCTCTGTCTCAGTTCCTAGTTGTAAAGTGACTGTGACAGTGGCACCACTTCAAAGGGTCGTTGTGAAGTTCAATCACTGGACAGCCATAAGAAACTTGGACCGGAGACTGGCATTTAGTGCTGGCTTTCATTATTATACTGGTCCAGTAACCTTGATTCTAAGGAAATCTTTATTAAGTGCACAAAGTTGTATATACACATTTATTTATCATGTCATGATTTATCAAAGGCCCAAAGTGAAAATGCCTGGTTAAATTTTTGTAATCTTTATTTTGTCATACTATGTGGCCATTAAATATAATTATGTTAATACATATGTATTGATATAAGGGCACTTATAATCTATTTTCAGGAAGGAAAATCAAGCTAAAGAATAAATATAGTTGAACTCTGGGAAGGAGATATATATTTTTTTTAATTCGTACATGTATATACCCAGATGTTAATGGTAATTGACTCTAGATTTAGGAGTTGCTCAAATTTATTTTTCTTTTTATCTGTGTTTTTTAATTGTTCTGTATCAATCTTATTGTTGATATAATTTTAAAATAATTTAATATCTTACATATTGTGGTGGTTAATTTTATGTGTCAACTTGACTGGGCAAAGGGATGCCCAGACTTCTGGCAAAACATTATTTCTGGGTGGGCTTCTCAGGATGTTTCCAGAAGAGACGCATTTGATTCAGTAGACTGAGCAGAGACCTGCCCTTACTAGTGTGGGTGGGCATCGTCCTGTCCACCGAGGGCCCAAATAGAAGAAAATGGCAGAAGAAGAACCAATTAGCTCCTTCTGCATGACCTAGGACACCCATCTTCTCCTGTCCTTGACCATTGGAGCTCCTAGTTCTTGGGCCCATGCACTCCAGGACTGACACCAGCAGCTTTCCTGGTTCTATGGAGGGTAAACCTTGGGACTTCTTGGCCTCCATAACCTCATGAGCCACTTCCTAAATTAAATCCCTATATACATGCTATTGCTCTGTTTCTATGGAGAAGAACCCTGAATTATATACATATGCTCCAAAGTTCCTATAAATCTTGCCAAAAAATTTTTTTAAATGTATCTGAAAATAGGGAAGGATAAATAGCATAGAAATCCAAAACTAATGTTAGTCTCCAAAGTAGATAGAAAACACAGTCGGAATCATATAACTTAATAATGAATATTCAGGAACAGAGTCATTCTCACTGGTAATTACTACCAGTGTGTGTGTGCATGTGCAAACACACATGCACATATGTCTATTACACTTGGGTTCCCCCTGAGAACAGAGCCTGAGGCAAGGACCTTGGTACAGTTTAATTTATTTCAGAGCTTCTCCCGAGACATTGAAGTGAGAGAGAAAAAAATCCACATAAAGACCTTCAGAAGATGTGCTCTGGCCTCACTGAACAGCCTCATACCATAACACCATCAAACCTTCCCCATTCCAGGTCCCCTCTGCCCTCTGCAATGCCTATCCTCCTTCACTTGCCCTTGTTCCTCCTACTAGAACATCAGGGTCTATTCTAGATGTCAGGATCACCCAGAGGTCAAAGAAGCCTGGATGGAGAGCTGGGGATAGGGAGAGACCCGAAGTAGCAGGGAGAGACAGATGAAGCAAGACTGGCCATGAGTTAAGTTAATAACAGTTAAAGCAGGGTGTTAGGGATGTGGGCTCGTCATGCCGTTCCCTCTGCTCGTGAGGCGTGGAGGTGCAGGGCTGGACGTCCCTTCAGGAAAAAACTGCTGTTCAACTATGAAGAATGAAGTTGGCTGATCTCGGCTTTCCAATCAAGGTCTCATTCCGTCTAGGCCGCCCTAGCCAATGGCTGAGCAGGGTAAGGACACCAGGACCTGGTCATTTCTGCCCAATGGAGACTCCATGCTGGGCAGCTCATGCCTGGAGCTCTCAGTGGGTTGGCAAGATGTTAGCCCTGTATGGGGGTTTGGGGGTCCCCCTGCCCGTTGCTGCTTCCTCCTCTCTCCCCTCTCACAGTGGTCAGACCTGCATTGCACTGTGAAGGCTTTCCCTGGCCCATCTGCTTCCTCCACCTTCTCCTCTCACAGGTGTGACCCCCCGCAACAAACCTCTTGCACTCCCAGCTCCATCTTGGCAACTGCATCCCAAAGGTCCTAAACTGACACAACTGAGGTGCAGCTTGCTTCGCCCCCCTCCCAACCCCTGCTGAAGTTCCAAAAATAATGAAGAAATACCAGAGAGTTATAAACATTGTATTATATTTATATGTTTGCAATATAATAAATGAAAGCTTTCCACGTGAAAAAAAAATACAGCGGTTATATATAACTTAATTTTGGAAATAATATCAAAAATTAAATTCGCAGTCCTTTGGGGATATGAGGCCCCGGTCAAGGTGCCTTCCTTCCTCCCACCAATGAGCAAGCCCTGCCAGACATCAACCATGGGATGGTCACCCCAGGCTGTACTGGGTGGCCCCTCCTATGCTCCCATAACACCCTAATCTCTGTCACTAGATTACTATCCCATTCTTCCCGCCTCTGCCCTGTACCCCAACTCTGCAAAGGAGGACCGGACACAGAGCAAGTACTCAGTAAATGACTTTCGATCAGTCACTGAATGGCTGACTGAGGTATGTGTCCCCAAAAGGACCCCATATAAGACCCATCTCCACAGTGTTCCCACAGGTTTACAAATGCTGGGAACAGAGACCCAATGGACCCTTTCGGTCTGGAGTGAACATGGAGGTGAAGGAAGAAAACTGCTCAGAGGTCCTATCACACCTTTTCTCAAGCCATGGGGCCTGAGGGCACCCAGCCAGGCCTCCCTGGCACTCTCAGGCAGGGTCCCTCACGGGTGAGAGGGGCGAAATCATCTCCATCTTCCGCTTCGCTTCTCTCCAAGGGAGAAGACCTCTTGGTTACTGATGAAGACAAGAGGATCAGCAGCCTCTTCTGGTGGGGTGGGACGTCAGCCGGCCCGAGACCCATGACAAGACTAGTTCTCCAACCAGCTAGGCTCTGGGGTGGGATCACCAGCCAGGGACCCTAGGTTGGCCAGGGCTCCAAGCGCTGGTGCCAAACTTCTCCGGGAGCTTCGAGTGAGACAAGGGCCTCGGTTTCCCTCTCTGGTCCAGGTCCTGGGGGAGATCTTCCAAAGAAGAGACCTCCAAGTCGCTCTCATCATCGGAAAGCTATGGGGAAGTAAGAGGGAGAAGAAAATGCATTCTGACAAAGGAGGATGGAAAGGCAGGATGGGCACGGGGACAAAATGCGGATTTGGAAGGAAGTAGGGAGATGCTGCTCCTCATGCTTTCTCAAGGTTCCTGGTCTTTGAGAACCTGCTTCAGAGACATGGCGTCAGAATGATTTCCTGAAGTCCCACCAGCTAAATCCACGCAAGCTCATTGGAAAGAACTACGGCAGATGAGGGTGCTCTTGCTGTAATTTAAACCTTGTCCAGATTTTTTAATGCCCCACATCGATGGAGCTGGAAGCCCAGAGGCTTGTCTTTTCTGAATTCCTGAGCTGAATGCACCAGGCGCTAAAGCGCCCACCCTACCTATTCTCAGACTGCTCCCCTAGGGTCTAGTAAATAGTTGGACTGAAGGAGTGTGAGGGTAGCTCCAGAGCGCCAGGAATCCTTCAGCCTGGAAAGGGTCTGGGTCGTGGTCCAGGGGAGAGCCCAGAGAGGGCCAAGGGCCCAGGCTACCCCGGGACCACAGTCACCCCTCCAGAACTCTCAGTGTTCCGGCTGACATGGGGCCCAGGCCACCTGGCTTTGATATAAGCAGCCTATGTGTTTTCTCCTGGAATAGAAGGCCAACCTTACAGAAACCACACAGGACCCAGGGCAGCAAGCATGCTCTGAGCAACGCCTCAACCTGCTTTGGGCTGTTGGTACTCTTTCACAATATGGGGAAAAAGACAAATTTTTTTAAATCGTTTAGACTCATTGCTCACAAACACACATAAACTGTATAATAAACCAAACACATTATATAGTGAAAATGGGGTGAAGGGAGTATGCTATCAAGAATCAAAAAGTGATTGCCCATGACTTCTGAATTTTAGTAACAGTATTAGCCATCCCGGGATGAAGCTTTCTGATTGATAAAGGACAGAAAAAGAGTATGAAGTAACGAGAGCTCTCAATGCTTCTGCCTAAGAAAGTGTGGGAGTTGTCCCCTGGCAGGGGCAGAGCAGGGCAGTGAGGAGGGCCTGGTCATGATGGAGGAGGCTGAGCATCTGAGCTCTAAATCTGATGGCAGCTAGAGCTTGAGAGACAAGGCCATCAAGACATTCTTAGTGATGAGGAACGGCCTCGAATGTTTAGAACAAAGTATCTAAATACCCCCATTGTACCTCGTTGCCTACTCTGACGGGCTGTGTGATGCCACTCCAACACCCCACCCCTGGAAAGATGTCTGCGCTGGCTCACCCTGCAGAGGGGGAGGGCCCTCTGTAGGGTGAGCCAGAGCACAGCACCTGTGGAAGGTGGGCACAGCACCAATTCCAAGCTCCATTAGAGGCAGGAAGCAGAAGAAGCAACCCACAAAGTAGTTGCTTGTATAATGAACCAAAAGGCTTTTTATTGTTAACATGGACACAGACGAGCATTTTAAAGTGCCCTTGCTCCACAGTGAAGTCACTTACAATGTTCCACTAAGGCCAAAGCTGCCATTCACTGGACCCTCCCGCAGGCCCCGCCCCGGGCTGCCCACAATTGGAGCTCGCTCTGTAGGGAATTGCAGGGCAACCTCCAAGAGTCCTACACCCTACCTGAGGCTTCCTTCCTGGCGCGGCAGGCCTCTGTGGCCCGGTGTTGGGCGTTAAGAACAGACTGACCCCTCCAGCTGGCTTCTTCGCTGGAGCCTCCAGCTGCTTCTCAAGGTTTTTGACCATCGACTGCACCAGTGTCCCTGGAAGGCAACCAGAGAAAAATGCCCAATAAATGCCATGTCCTGTGGGTCAGGTCCAGGCTCCAGTGTGGACAGAGGGAGTATGGAGAAGGTCAGGAGGAAGAAGGAAGGGTAACCGCAAAGAGAGGGCAAGGAGCAAGATGCGGATTCGGCCAATGCGTGCTGCAGAAAAGAGGCTGTGAACATTGAAAATGTAACTATGCACTTAACAATGTGGCTGGGGACAGAGGCTTGGAAGCTGTTCTTCCCTCTTAACCTCTGCTCAGGTGGTACACAAACTGCAAGACTAACATGCAGACACATCCTCTTTCAAAGTCTTCACTGAGTCAAGAACATCATAAATACAAATTAGCACAGAACTGCAGGCCAGACACGCTTTCTGCAAACTTCATGCAAGAAAGGTGCCAAGCAGTGACGTACATTATCTATGGACACCTGGTGAAATGGTAAATGAGGTGCCTGTCCAGACATCAAGAATGACCAATAGGTAGGGGGCTAAGCTCGGCCTTCTAGGATTCGAATGTCCGAGGGTCTGAGCAGATGGCTGGAGCTACGACAGCCTTTGGCTCACTGATTCATTCAAGAAATGTTTTGTATTCCAACTATAATTGAAAATTTTTAAATTTTTTTTTTAAAGAACTGTTTAAGGGCCTGTTATGCACCAGGCACTGATTCTCGCTCCTCATTAATTATCTTGTCCAGAGATCTCATTTTACAATAAAGGAACCGAAACTCCTCACACAAGTCCAGGCAAGTAGGTATCAAGTGACAGAGCTCAAACTGGATTGAGGACTCTTGACTCCTCATTCTGAGATGTTTCCACCCTTTTGTTTTTCCTACAGGCCATCAATACTTCTCAAAGATCTGGTTCTGGTGGATTCTCATGGACTGGCTGGCTTGGAATATGCTGTGGACAAGACCAACTTCTGCAGAATCCTTTAAGAGTATGGACTTGCAGATTGCACAGACCTGGGCTAACAACCCAGAACATCTACATACTGACTTTGGAAATACAAAACCAGAAGTTTCATATTTTTAACTAAGCCTGGGCTAGTAAATGCAGCTGAAGGCGGAAGCCTCAGCCTTTCCCATTACTAGTTTTGTAAAAAAATCTCGAAAGAATGAGAGTTGATTCAGTTTTGAGAAGAAAATGATCAATTAGTCATTGTAACCTTTTAGATAGAAAGTGACAAGTTCATTCCAGTTAACTATAACACTTAGCTTAAATTTCTGTGATGCTATTTTCATCGACTAGTTGAATTTCTGTCTAAGTCTCTTTGCTGAAAAGGGCAAAGAAATTTCTTGTGGTCCAAAGACCACTGGGCGATACCTGAGGCAGCCTGCTGTCAAGGTTCAGTTACCTTCCAAGGCTGTCACCCTCCTTCTCAAGATTAGCTGGGAAGCTACAATTTTCACAATTTTTTTTTTTGTTGTTGCAAAATCTTACGTTTGTTAGACTGTGTATTATAGGAAACTATATTTGTCAAAATGTTCATTGTAGTTGAACCTAGTTGTAACCAGGGTGATAGTGACCACAACCCCCCTATGTGGCGCTAAGGAACCAAGCAGCATAAAAGACTGCAAATACTCTTAAAAAGAAAATGGCTAAAGGCCACCTCTTTCTTGGAAAAATTTATTTCACAAATAAAATAAACAAACAAACAATAAACTCTAACACATTAACTTCAAAGAAAACCAGAATTTTCCATAAAGTTAGTTCTATGATCTTAAACAAGTAACTTAAGGTCTCAGAGGCTTAGTCTGTTACAAAGTGTATAGTTACACAGATGGCTTACCTCATGGGTGGTGGGAGGGAATTCCTGCTCTACCCTCAGGATGGCCAGGTTTAAGAGGGATACCTTCTCGGTGTTTCCCCACACCTTACCTTCTCCTACCCACAGAATTAACCAAGCAAAAGGACTGCGACATCCCCTGGGCCACATTTCAGCTGAGAGAGGGTCAGGAAGGCTGACTTTATTTTTCTCTCCGACCCTCACCAGCACCAGTGACTGGGTTCAGAAAGTGACTAGATTGTCCCCACAGCTGCCCGTTTCAGCCCGTTCAGGGTCCTCTTTGCTGACTCAGCCCTATGAACAAATATGGTCAGGATCTAGATTTGGGGAGGCTGCGGGGGTCCCCACTTGGGTCTCGGGAGCAAATCCAGCTCTAACAAGAAGTCTACGCCTTAGGCTTTACTGGGCCCTGTTGCCAATAATAGAGCAATGCTTTGTTCTCAGTGTATCTGGCCACCGTGTTTATTCGCTACTGGTTAAGAACCTGGAGAAGGAAAGGGGTAAGTGGGCTCCCCCCAGCTCCAACAGTTTAACAATTCAATGACAAACAAGGGACAAAATAAACCTCACTCAAATTCTATCTTGCTCCTAATTTCTCTTTCTTCTCAGGGAAATATCTGATGAGAGGGAGGATCATTCTCTCCAATAATGACTTGTCACAATAATGAGCTGGCAAACCAAAAAACCCAAAGAAAATCAAAGGGTCTTTCCAGGACCTACATTTGGGCTAGAGAAGGGTTACCCTGGTGGTCCCAGACCACTCACCTGAGGAAGCCGGCCCCCCTGAGCCCTTGCCAGGGAATGGGGCACTCCCCTCTGAGGTCCCAGTGTCAGACCAGTCCGAGTCATCCTCAGGCCGGGGCCCCATCCTGGAAGGAACTTTTGGGGGCTGACGAGATGTCTGCTGCACAGAATGTCCCTCTGAGTCCTCTTCGGAACTGAACGGGGGTGTACTGCTGAAGAGGAGGAAAAAATGAGGGCCACTTTCAAAGCCACACTTCACCACTTGCAAGCACGTTTGGTTTCCCCAGAGCCAGCCCTCCTCCCTCCCTGGGCCCAGGAGACAGCTGGGAGTAATCCTGGAGTGTAGCAGCAATGCCAGAGGAGCCAGAGGACCCGGTCCCCTTCCAGTGTGGCAACTGGGGCTTGAAGAGATGAGTAAGGGCAGCATAGGTTTGTCTTGATGGAGAGGGAGCACAGGACCCCAGTCCTACCTGAGGACCCTCCTGTTCACTTCTTTCTCTGTCCCTCACCTGTCTGCAGAAGCCTGTGGGGACCCCAGAACAGGGCAGCCTGAGGCCGGAAGCCACATCACAAACCCAGTGAGAGTGCAGAGGTTGGGGCTCACCTTAGCCCAAGCCCTGGGGAAGAAGTGGTGCCGGAGGGTCCACGCACTGCGAGGCGTGGAGTCGGGGTGGGCACCTGGGCCAGGCCAGGGCCGTGGCTGCCGCGGCTTTGAAGACTGGTCACAGGTGGCTCTACCGGCTTGGATGGCGATGCCACGTTCAGGGTCCTGGCCTTTGGCTGTACCTCTTTGGTGACGAGAGGGTTCTGCTGACTTTTGACTAGAAACACAAATGACAATGAGTTTCAGAGCCTATCCATCTGGGCCCTCAAGCCTGAGAGGGGGCAGAAAAAGGCGCTGACACACTGGAAATGGACAAGCCACTCTGTTGCAATACACCATAGTAACCACAGCAGATTTAATAACTGCCCCCACCCCTAGTGTCTCACTGCTGGCTGGACTCAGGACTGGGACCCACAGTTTTACCAGAGACCAGGAGAGCAGCAGCTGGTATTCCAGGGTTATGTCATCATTCCAGGAGACCCGCAGGGGGCAGCAGGTCTGAATAGAAGTCCAGCACATCTGCAGCTCTCTCTCTCTCTCTCTCTCTCTCTCTCTGTCTGTCCCTCTATCTCTCAAACACACACACACACACACACACACACCCCAACCCTACTCCTGCTCAGTCCTAGAAGCCCATCTCACCAAAGCCACCTACCCTCTCTATCCACCCAAGCAAGCTTCAGCCACTAGAATGCTGGCAGCCTTGTAGGAAGGCCCTGCTGGCACCAGAGGTCGCCAGAGGACCACACGGGCCACCGAAATCCACACACCTGGACTAGAACTCTGCTAAAGGCGGGCAATTAGACATAGCCCTCCATTGCCCAGACTGCAAGGCCCACTGTGGGGAAGGGAATCCAGGATCAGCAATTTTTTTATGGAAAGAGGAGAGAAAGTGCATCGCAGAGAGTTGAAGTCTGGCTGCATGAAACTCTTACCTATGTGGACCAAGTAACAGTATAAAATGAGTGCCTTATAGTGTAGTTCAAGGTCAAATGTTTGAAATACACTGATCTCAGAGAATGTGGACCTTCCACTTCTCAGAAGTGGACCTTCCAGGAAAAGATAAACTGAAGAGAAGGGGAAGGCAAACTCGTGGAGGGAAAATAATAACAATAATAGCCACCAAGCTGAGCACTTTACATATGCCCGTTTAGCTTCAGACACCTTCAGAGAGTATTCTTTTCTCCACTTTACAGAGGCCTCTAGAAATTCAGGGACTCAATCAAGGACCACAATTCCGTGGAAGTTAAGTGGTAGATGCAAACTCAGGTTGTCGGTCACCCCGAATCTAGGGCTCTGGCCACTGCCTTTCCACATCCAACAGCTTTGCCCCAAAACTAGAGGCACAGTGTGAGCAGAGATGAGAGGGGAGCATTCGTACAGAGCTGGAAAGATAGTCTACAAAGTGCTGTGAAAACAGTGTCATCTCACAGTGACATGTCCTGGGGAAGGCAGGACCCCAAGGCCAAGGAGGCTCTCACTACTGGCTTTAGGACTATAGGAGCGAGGGCTAGAGATGGGGTGGCACTTGGAGAAATAAGACACCTTTCTCTTCTCGTAGAAGCGGGGACTCAGGCTTCCACTCACCTTCCCTGACTGCCTGTCCCCTCTCTCCTCCAAGCTCCCACCACCCTGTGCTTGGCTTCGTCACATCGCCTAGTCCTGACTGGTTTCCCAGCTAAGGCGGCAGGTCCCGGCGCAGATCAACCTCCGTATATACTGTACTAAATGAATCAGTGAATGAACAAATATTTGAGGCAGAGGATTAGGAGCTTAAACTGAAAGACAGGTTAGCAACTAGGACTAATACCTTTCTTCTGAGATTTCTGTATAAGACTAAGAACAGAAAGTTTAAACTAAAGTTTAAGACCAGAAGTTTAAACTAAACAGGACAGAGTTTCTCATATTGTTGACACAATATTTTTATACCAATTGCTGTTATCTGTTTAATATTTTTATATAATGACACCACCTTTAAACATAAAATACCCACTTTATATTTGTCCAGGTCATAATTTCTATGAGCTCACAGTATTGCAATGTTAGTAATATTTTCTAATGCATATGAGAAAAAAAATAAAGATTAAAATTTAGAATTATTTATCCACGTACCAACTAAAATCATCTTTCCTACCCCCAGAGATATGCAGACAACATTCTGGAAAATTCCTTTGCCTGAAGAGCTCAGATTGGGTCTACATGAACACAAGGAGGTAACAGAAGACCTCTCTCTGGCCACCTATGTCCATGACTGAGGAGACAAAGTGATAGGCGCTGTGGCATCACCCTGCCAGATCAGACCCACAGCCACTAAAGCCCCCCCAGAGCCCCCAGTTACAGCAGCCCAGTTGAACTGGGAATCCTCTAGAAAAGGGGGACATCGAATCTAGGAACACATGTTCCCTTGCTCCCTAAATTCTGCGAGGACAGAGATTGGAGGGTCCTTGCCCATGCTCTTTAATCTTCCATAAGAAACACAGGCCCTTTTCTTGTCATGACCCCCGGGGCAAAGCGGCGGCATGACTCTATGCAGGAAACAAGTCTGAGGACCTGTCTGCAGGCAGACGGGCACAACCTCTCCTCCCTCCCACTACTTCAGAGCAGAGTTTTCATTTGATTGATATCTACCTCTGCCTCTGCCTGCAGCCCCAGTGCTGACATGCCTGGTTTATGGAGCCAGAAACCAAACGGGTTGCTCTCTGTGGGAGCAAAGTTCAACTTGTGGTCAACGCAGACAAAGCAAAGCAGAGTTAAGCTGTTGAGTAAGGAATGAGTCTGAGCAAGGAGAGTTCAGGCTGGCCACAAGCTCCAGCTCTGGCTCTCTTCTGTTTCCCTAAGGACCCTGGTGCCCACCCACCCCACCCATTCAGACTCCACGCTCCCAACAAGAGGACTTTCATACTCAGTCACCTGTGAGGATCCTACCACCTCTCCCTTCAGAACCATGCTCCCAGGGGGCAGGGGTTACACCCTCCTCTGTGCAAACAAGTCCAAACCCTCCTGGGTCACAGCCCCTCTGAGCAAGCCCCCTCACCAGCTTACCTGGAGCCTTGCCATCCGGCTGGGACCCCAGGGCCCCTTGCCTCTGTCTCTCCTTCACTCTGCTGGTGGCTTCTTTGATGAGCTTTTCCCTAAGACTCAGAAATTCAGAAAACCTCCCCGCCTTCTGCTCCCGCTGGGACCTCAGGAGGGACTCCAGGTGTCTGAGAGTCTGAACCGGAATTCCCTTTGCATCCTAGAAGAGACAAAAGTTCTTCTTTGGAGACTGGGGATCCCCTCCTGTCTCTAAACTTGCTGCTGGCCTGAGAGCCACTGCGATCAGAGCCGGCTACTTTCTGGGAGAGGATGAGATGGGAGTCAGAGCAGGGCGAGCCCCAGCTTTACACGCTGCTGAAAGTGTTGTGGTTTAGGGTGTGGGAGCCCCGTCAAAACATGCAGAGCAAGATGATAAAGGGGCTGTACACAATTTCACTGACATCACAACATACAAGGCTTAGACAGGACATGCCTTTCCACCCGGCTGATCTTAGGATGGGAGACCGTGGCTCGCTCCTTTTTGTACCCCAGGCCCCATCGTCATGCCAGACATGTTGCCTTTCATGATAAACAACATTTGAAAAAAACTACTGCAAAAAACAAATGCCAGGTACCCTTCCAGGACCTATTGGAAGTTGCTTGGGCTCTTGACATCTACCCAGAGTCCATGGGAGGGTCTTGGGAGGCATCTGAATCTAAGATGAAGAATCATTCAAGGGCAGAAAGAAATGTTTTAATTAAACCTGAACACAGGGCCAAAGTTAGATTAACCAGGAGTTGAAAACAGCCAAAGATTAGAGTATCCTTACTAAATTAAACCTAGAGGTTTTTGTTCTAATCTTACTCTATACAGATAGTACTTCCAATGACATGATGCTCAGCTTTTAATAATATGGCGTGCTTTCATTTCGTAATAAATTTCATTGATGCCTTTAACGATAATATTCATGCTCTGGTTAAAGACGAGCATTGAGGGAACAACAGCATTCACGTACTAGTTTGTACCAGACGGCTTACAGTGTCTGCCTCACCCACGCCACCTGCTGAGTGGGCATGGCCATGTGTGCCACCAACAATGGACACTTCGCCCAAGGGACCCATCCAGAGGCCAGTTGGAACGAATAAGATGAACAAGCTTGCAATGTAAAGAACAACCAATCATTTGTTGGTCTAAGAAAACCCTGTGTCTAAATGATAGGTATCGGCTGTTACAACGGGGGCACCAGAACTTACTCTCTTTATGCCCATGCTTTCCAGTTTCTCTTCCAGGGTGTCCTCCAGGACTGGCCTGAACTGCTTCAGCAAAGTGGGGTTTCGCCTCAGAGCTGCCAGCACCTTTTGCTGTCCATCTTGTGAATCCTCCAGCTCTGCAGCCCAAGACAATCACCAAGGTCAACTTGGGCACCCGAAACCTCCACTCCCAAAACCCCACTGCACCTGCTTGGCCTTCACTTGGCCAGTGATCCTGGTCTCTGCCCTGTGAGCTCAGGGCCACTGACATCCCCTGAGTGTCCAACCCTGGATCAGAAGCTGGGGTGTTTCTGCTTCTGGATACCACTGACTTAAACCACCCACCCCAATCTCATGTTGAAAATTCTCATTCCCTGCCAGTCTGGACCTTCAAGATCATGGTTCATTCCTGCCCCAGGATAACTCAGAGCTTGCGGGCTTTTGACGTGCACGTGAGTTCTGACAGCAGCTTATTCCCTGAGCTCCATTCTGATCCCAGATTCCAAGGCCTGTCTGCTGCCAGTTCTAGCCTAATCCTGGCCCCACTTGATGCCCTCACCTCATTGCTTTGTTAGGTTCTGTTATGGTCTAGGGAATAAAATGGCAGACAGGAAAGAGAGGTCCCTGCTCCCTTGGAGTTTACTGTCTAGATCAGGCATTCTTCCTCCAATCGTAATGAGCATCAGAATCACATGAGTTCCCTTCAGAGAGTTTGATTCCGTAGGTCTAGGGAACGGCCCTACAATCCGATTTTAACTTGCCTGGATGAGCCGCAGACCATGCCTCAAAAATTACCAATCCAGGGGGTAACAAAATTAGCAATTACAATAAAATGTGGTAACTGCTACCAAGTAGCAGTCCAGGGACACTCAGGGAAGCCCCTACCCCCCAAAGTACTCTTCAGGTCCAGCATGGGGGCCGCTGCCATCAAAGCTGCACAGCCTTTTGATTCAATCAATAGACATTTACTAACAAGTAATGAGTTACAGTGTTGGGTGCTGGGGACACAGAAGAAAACCCAAAAGGAGCTCACAGCTGAAGGTGGTGATCTCAACCCTGCCTGCACAGCTGAATCACCAGGGCCCCCGCCCACACTAATTTCATCAGAAACTGAGGGTGGGCCCCAAGCCTTAACATTAATTTTCAAAGCTCCCCAGATCGTCTACCAAATAGCCACACCTTAAAACCAATTGTTTTAGAGTAATGGTTTTCGAAGTGTGAGCCATCACACCAGTACCACTCGGTAACTCATTAGAAACACAGATTCTCGGATCCCACTCCAGCCCTACTAAATCAGAATTTCTGGAGGTGGAGCCCAGGAATCTGGGAGTAAGGAGACCTTCCTCTCCCTGTACACTCTTTTGCATTCATGGCTTTATTTCCTTCACCCCGATTTCAGGTGGCCAGATACAGTTAAGTAGAGACCAATTAAACAATGAAGATGGCAGCAAATCTGTTTTCTACATTGGACACCGGGGAAGAAAATGAGGCCCTACCTTCCTCAGAAGAGTTCTCTTCAGTGTCCACAGCCTTCAGACCCTCACAGATCCCTGCAGGGAAGAGGAACAGTTTGTGGCTCCAATGCCCTGGACCCCATCCCTCACTTAGAGAGAAGCATGGGACATCATGTGAGTGCTGGACAGGAAAACTAAGCTCTCTGGTCATTTCTTTACCAGAGAGGGGCAGGATGGAGCAGTGGTCACAACCCTGGACACTGAAGGTAGAAAGATCAGAGTTCACACTCCGTCTCTGACCCTCACTAGCTGTGCACAACGTGGCAAGTCCTCGAAGCTCTCCAAGCCTCAGTCTCCTCATCTAGAAAATGAGGATAAGAATGCCCACCCCTCATTAAAATATGAGGACAATATAATGAGACGACGAGTCCGAAGTGCTTGGCAAAGTGCATGGCACACATTCCAGCCCCAGCACTGGGAAGTTCGGGACCACGGGAATAGTGCTTCCTGAACTGGTTGCAAGGCTGTGAAAGAAATGTCTAGCCTCAAGTCAAGGGATGGGAGGAGACATGTGTGTTTGCAAGAAAAGGCAAGAGGGTAGCCATAGGGATAGAACAGGGGAGGAGAGTGGAATATGAGGAGCCAGGTTTCATAAGGGACTGACCCGGGTCCTCCAAGCAGAAGCAGTGCCCTATAGGTTACTGTCTGCCTTTAGACTCCAGTACCTGCACTCCATTACACACTCACATACTATCGTGTGCATACACCAGCACACCAAAGTACCCAAGAAGAGGAGAGCACATACTCCAGACAGGCCACATTCACAAATATTGGGGTTCACCTTGCTACACACTAGGAACAGGGTAAAGGTCAATGACCTGAACCACACAGTCAAGGTGGATCAGAAAGTGCCTGTTTGTGAACGCTGCTCCATCAATCACCACCCCCAAGCTCCTCATCCTTCCCCATGTCTCCACTCTACGGAGAAGAGCAGGTTAGGAAAGAAACCCTGGCAGCTGCAAGGAATGCCTTCAGCACAAACGCCAGGCTGGAGCTCTGTGTGTCCCAGAAGCAAATGTCTTCTCACCCTTTACTGCCCAGTCGGAGAGCCTGATGCCACATAACCTCACTCTCATCCTGTAAACTGATTTGTGGAAGACAAGAAAGAGAAGAGCCCAAGACAACAGCCAAGATTGTTACACATTACCCCATGCAGACTTACCCTCCACCTTCCTGAGAGACATGGTCTGGATCTGCAAAGATGTGGAACAGAGCAGATTACAGCCAGCAGGGACCTTTGATCTGAGCAGTGGGTCTGTCTACCACCATGAAGCAGGGACAGCCACGATTTCCATGCCACCCATAGGAAACTGGGAGGAGCTCAGAGTACACACCCCAACACCCCAACGCATCTCTTGCCATCCATATGGGAGAGGGATGGTACCAGGTTGAATGGCAGTAAACAGGATGGCACCACATTCCGTTTTCCCATGGTGGGGAGACAACAATTCCCCCTGTTCAGAGAGGGACTATGGTCTGAAAGGCAGGAACCCCGTGAAATCAGAGTGACACAGGTACACAGTCAATACTATTGGTACAATTGGTGGAAAACAGCCAGGGCAAGGTAGGCACCTCCCACCCCTACAATATGCTCATCTGAGCTAAGTGCCCCATACTATTGGTACAATTGGTGGAAAACAGCCAGGGCCAGGTAGGCACCCCCCCACACCCCTACAATATGGTCATCTGAGCTAAGTGCCCTCTAGGAGGAAGGAGGCATGATGTGGACGGGCACTGAACTGTCTGCTCAACCCCACTTTTCCAGGAAGTGCTTCTTCTTCCTCCTTCCACATAACTGCAGACAGGGAAGCCACATGTGACAATGTGACCTCACACCACAGCCATAGCTGACTGTCCAGGTCTGGCAGAAAATTCTGGACTTGTAAAGTGTGAAGTCAAGAGCTGTCAGCAGCCAAGTGATTTTGTTTTCCTTGTTTGTTTATTTGTTTGCTTGTTTGTTTTGCCATATGGAACAGAAGAATGAAAGCTGATCTTCAAAGTAAAAGAGAAATTAAAGCAGATATAGAGAAAAAAAAACAGACACACACAACAGAGGAAAATTCCTGACTATATTCATGTCTCTGGTCCCAGTTGGTTCCCAGACTCAGCCGCTCCCCTGCCTTGAGCTTTGTGAGGCATCCTACCTACCCTTATGACAAATTCCCTCTTCTGCTTAAGCTTAAGCTGTTTTTTATTACTTACTGGCTAATAACACATCCAACTCTTCCTTCATTTGCTTACCTCTATTCTAGAGACTATAAAACAAATTACTCATTTCCTAGGCCTCATTGCATCTATAACTACCCATGTGTTACAGCTTTAACCAATAAAATATAAGCAGAAGTCTTAGAAGGGGGCCTTTTCATTAACTTCTTCCATTGAATATAGTTGTGATGAATGGGGCTATGGCAGCCATCTTGCAACTATGAGAATCAAGCATGAGAACAAAATCTAAACATACAGAAGATGATAAAAAGAAAAACAGTCTGAACTTCCAATGGCATAATGTTGCAGCTAAACCAAGGCCAGCAAGAGTCTCTTCTTTTGGTATTACAATAAAAATAAACCTCTGTTAATCTATTCTGTTATGTTTAGCCAATAGGTTCTTTACTGAAACATTTACAAACAAGAGTTCTGGGTAACATACGGAAGAAACCTCCAGACTGGACTTGACTGGCCACAGCCGTAAAGAGCTAGGTGTTTACGAGGGCAAACAGTAAAAAGAAAAGCAGCAGGGGAGAGGGGAAGATAAGTTGACTGGGTGAAGCATAGTGGGAGAACAGAAAGGCACAAATAGCAAGGGCGCAAGTACAGGAAGAGTGGGCTAGGTAGTAACTGTGTGTTCAGCCCAGGGAAGCCATGTGGAGGCTGGTGTCAGAACCATGGCGAGGACCTGAGGCCACAGGAGGGGCCCAGCTGGGGAAAGATACACTTCTACTCTTCTCCACAGACCTGGCACGCGGAAGTGGGAAGCTGAGCCCAAGCTGGGCAGAGACTTATCAGCAACAGGTGAAGAAGAGTCACAGGGGCCAGGTCTGGGAGAGGGGTACTTAGTAAGTGCCTTTTCATCACACTAGTTTACTTGACCACCTCATCAGAGGCTGTTAATTGATGAAATGGGTATTGGTTAAGAAACTATGTCTGAGAACACAGTGAAAAGAGCAGAAATTTTGCATTCCACCTGCCTGGCTGGGGTTGAATCTTAGTCCTGTCGCTAAAGAGTGCCCTGTATAGACTCCAGTGAGGCACTTGAGTTCTCCGGCCTGTTTCATCATCTGTCAAGTGACAATAAGGAGAAGGTAATGTCTACCTTGAAGGGCAGTCATGAGGTTTAAATGAGTCAATAAGCGAAGTATCAGCCAGGTGCTAGCACTTAATACAGTCTGTGGTATTAGAGAACCCATCTGCCAGAAGCCCCGGGGATGATGGGCACATTTTCAGCCTGGAGGGAGGCAGGCAGCATCCTCATCACTTTGCACCCCTCAATCCTGAGGACTCTTCTCTCTCCTTAAAGAACCTGGCTAATGAGACGAATGCCGATGAGTCCAGAAGAATCTAAGGAGATCCTCGCAGAGAAGAGGCCTGGGGGCACCAGAGGCTGGCTGGAAGAAGGGAAAGACCTACCATCTCCTCCTGGGAGGCGATGAGCCTGGCTTGTTCCTGGAGCTGGGTGCGGAGGGCATTGATCTGGCGCTGGGACTGGGCAGCCGCTGTCCTCTGATCCTGAGACAGGGAGGCCTGGAGCCTCTCATTCTCCTCCTGCAACTGGTGGGCACAGGATGGTGGTTCGGTCAAATGCTGCAGGGACCTCTGAGTGCCCAGTGTCTACGGGGTCTGCAACTATAGGCCATGCTAGTCAGGGTTTCACCTGAAGCAGGGTAGAGGGTTTCCAGACCTGGACAGGTGGCTCTCTAACAAGACCGACTACCTTCCAGTTTGGAGATATTTTCAAGCTATGCTTGAGGAGGAATGAGAATTGAATGCAAGTCCCTAAGATCAGGGCAAAAGGGATCTCTGTCAGGTGTGGCCATCCACTGACAGACAAGTCGAGGTCATTCAAAAATCATCAAATGGATATTTTCAGGTGAGAATGAAAGGTGACGAAAATGTGGTAACATACGACCTACGGTGTAAGAGCAAAGAGAAAATGAGACTATTTATTGATATTTGCATAAAGAAATTCTAGAAGAGTATGCAAGAAAACAGTGGGGGAGGGGTGTTGGGACAGGTAGATGGAGACGAAGTGGGAGCATAACTTTACTCAGTGCACCTTAATATATTTCTTCTGTTTTTAGAAAAAATATGCACGTGTTTCCCATTTTAGGATGTTTCAAATAAAATAAAACCATCAGATGGGATAACTGGAGTGGGGATGACTACTGCGTGCTGGACTCTGATCTAAGCACTTTCACCTCTGAGCTCTCTGCAGGGCTCTTGTTAATCGGCTTCCCCTTCAAATTGCCTCCTCCTCAGGGGCATTTTTATAGAAGCTATTATCTCTGCCCATTTTTATAGAAGCTATTATCTCTGAGGCCCGCTACGGGTCCATTCACTGGTCTCAGTATCTGAGCCCCTGCATTAGTGCCCCACCTGAACTATCACTGAGGTCCACAACCACTTAGTTCTCTCCTGGGTAGAATTTCAAAGAAGGGCCCAAATATGAAATGACCAGACAATTCATCTGAGGTTTATAGCACAACTCTCCTTGGAGGGACTGAAGGGGTTCCTGCCAAGAGAACCACAGAGTAAAGGATGTGTGGGGTTCAGAAGAGAAGGCCTGGAGGCCACTATTCCTGGTCAGGGAAGCCGTTGTCTTGGCAGCTGAACCTCTTGTATATTGATGCAGGTCAGCAGCCAGGAACGGTATCAGCAACAAAATATCTGCCCATCAGTTTTAGGTGGGGGGAAAGATGGTGTGCTGATGGATGAAAGGAGGTCACAGAAACCAAGGTCCCCAGACCACCCAATGAAAGCTACCTCTCTCTTCTGAGCTGCATGCTCCTCCTGCAGTTCCTTCAATTTTCTCTTCCATTCTGTTTTCTGAAAAAGATTAACAGTTTATTAAATGGACCCCTCTAGATATTAAAATATATTATAAAACTACAGAAATTAAAAAGTACTGCCTCATGATTAGGGACACAGAGCAATGAAAAGGATGGAAAGCCCAGAGAAAGATGGGGAAAAATATGGACTCTTAGTCTGGGAGAAGATAGATTATTGACTAATACTGTTCAAACAAGTAGCTAGCTGGCCAAAAAAAAAATATGAACTTGGATCCTTATTTCATATCTTAAACCAAAATAAATTCTAGGTGCGTCAAACATTTAAACATAAAAAATAGGAGTGACCGTAAGCAAGGTGGTAAAATGGGAGGTTCCAGCTCTCAAACCACCCAGAGATGAGAATATCTTTCTGGGAGCCGGGGAATCCAGCTGAGAGGTTCCAGAACCTCGATGGAGCAAGAAATCTGAGAACAGACACATTGAAGAGGAGAAAAACAATTTCACTTTACCTGCATCAATTCTCCCCCACAGCAGCACAGCTTGGTGACAAGAGAGACCCCTTCAGCCCACAATACTTCGCACAGGGGAAAGTGAGAGTGAGTGAGCACCTAACTGCCCTAGCCTTGAGGAATGCTGTCCAGGAGACCCACTCTGTCTCATCCTACCCAGAACTGAGGGAATTGGCATGGCTGACTTGGCATGGGGCACTGGCACACAAATCTCAACAATCAGCAGTAGATCCTATTGGGTGGCTTGTGGACACCAGAACGTGTGAAAAGAGAAAAAGTACAAGTGTAAAGTATTGGCATTCAATTGAAGTTAAGTTGTTATCAGCTTAAAATAGGCTGCTGTAACTATAAAATGTTTTAGGTAAGACTCACATTAATCACAAAGAAAAAACTTGTAGCACAAATGCAAAACATAAAGAGAAAGGAATCAAAGCATACCACTACGAAAAAGAAATCATCAAATCACAAAGGAAAACAGCAAGAAAAGAACAAAGTAACTGCAAAAAAGTCTGAAAACAATTAACGAAATGGCAATAGTAAGTCCTTATCTGTTAACAATTACTTTAAATTTAAATGGATTAAATTCTCCAATCGACAAATGTAGAGTGGCTGAATAGATTTAAAAAAAAAAAATCCAAACTATATGCTACCTATGAGAAATTCACTTTACCTTTAAGAACAAACATACCTGAAACTGAAGAGATGGAAAAAGATATTTCATGAAAATGGTAACCAAAAGAGAACAGAGGTAGCTATACTTAAATCCAGACAAAATAGACTTGAAGTCAAAAATAGTCACAAAAGACAAAGAAGGTCATTATATAATGATAAGGGATCAATTCCTCAAGAGGACATAACAATTGTAAAGCTATAGACGCCCAACATCAGAGCACCTAAATATATAAAGTAAATACTAACGGAACTGAGGGAGAAACAGACAGCAATACCGTAATAGTAAGGGACTTCATTATCCCACTTTCAACAATGGCTGTATCATCCAGACAGAAAATCAGTAAGGAAAGAGGATGCTGGAACAGAAGCACTATATACCAAATGAACCTATGAGACGTATTCATCCAAAAGAGAACATTCCATCCAAAAGAAGCAGAATACTCAAGAGCACAGGAACATTCTCTAGGAGAGATCATATGTTAGCCCATAAACAGCCTCACCAATTTAAGATTGAAATCATATCAAGTTAATCTTTTCCAACCAGAATAATTTGAAACTAGAAATAAATAACAAGAGGGGGAGAAGAAAAATCACAAATATGTGGAAATCAAACAACATATAACACACTCCTAAACAAACGATGGTCAAAGAAGAAAACAAAAGGGAAACAAAAAAATATATCTTGAGACAAATGAAAATGGAAATACAACATACCAAAGCTTATGGGAAGCAGTAAAAGAAGTTCTAAGAGGAAAGTTTATAGTGATAAACTTCTACATTAAGAAAAAAGTTCTAATACAGCCTAACTTTATACCTCAAAGAGCTAGAAAAAGAAGAAACTAAGCCCAAAGTTAGCAAAAAGATGGAAATAATAAAGATTAGAGCAGATAAAAATAAAATAGAGAATTAAAAAACAATAGAAAAGATTAACGAAACTAAGAGTTGTTTTTTTAAAAGGTAAACAAAATTAACAAAGCCTTAGCGAGACTAAGAAAAGAGAGAGAAGTCTCAAGTAAAATGAGAACTGAAAATGGAGACATTACAACTGGTACTACAGAAATGCAAAGGATAACAAGGCTACCAGGAACAATTATACACCAGCAAACTGGATAATCTAGAAGTGGATAAATTCCTAGAAATGTACAACTTACCAAGAATGAATCATAAAGAAATAAAAATCTGAACACACCAATAAGGAGTAAGGAGATTGAATAGGTAATCAAAAATCTCCCAGCAAAGAAAAACCCAGAATCATATAGCTTCATTCGTGAATTCTACCAAACAGTTAATGAATGAATGCAAAATTTTCTCAAATTCTTCCCAAAAATTGAAGAGAAAAGAATACTTCCAAACTCATTTTATGAGGCCAATATTACTCTTATCAAAAGACACTATCAGAAAAAAAAACAATTATAAGCCGATATCCCTAATGAATATAGATGAAAAAATCTTCAATAAAATACAAGCAAACCAAATTCAACAGCACATTAAAAAGGCCATATACCATGATCAAGCAGGATTCATCCCCAGGTTGCAAGAATTTCAACATACACAAGTCAATAAATGTGATACACTACATTAACAGAATGAAGGATAAAATCATATGATTATCTCAATAGATATAGAAAAAGCACCTGATGAACTTCAACATTCTTTCAAGATAAAAACTCTCAACAAATTGGGTATAGAAAAAACATACCTCAACATAATAAAGGCCATATGTGACAAGCCCAAATCTAATATCATACTCAACAGTAAAAAAGCTGACCACTTTTTTCCAAGATCAGGAGTGACACAAGGATGCCCACTCTCACCACTTCTGTCCACTATAGTAATGGAAGTCCTAGCCAGAGCGATCAGGCAAAAAAAGAAATAAAAAGCATCCAAATTTGAAAGACAGAAGTAAAGTATCTCTGTTTGCAGATGGCATGATCTAATATACAGAAAACTCTAAAGATCCCACTCAAAAAATAACTGTTGGAAATATTTTCAAATTATATTACTGATTTCAAATTATATTACAAAGCTATTGTAATTTAAACAGTATAGTACTAGCATAAAACAGAATGGAACGGAACACAAAACCAAGAAATAAATCCATACATCAACGGCCAAGTCATCTTCAACAAGGGCACCAAGAATACAAAATGGGGAAAAGATAATCTCTTCAATAAATGGTGTTGGAAAAAATGAATATATGCAAAAGAATGAATTGAACCAATATCTTCCACCATACACAAAAATCAATTCAAAATAGATTAAAAACTTGAATTTAAGATCTTTTTAAGTTTTAAAACTGTAAAATTCCTAGAAGAAAACATAGGGAGAAAGCTCCTTGATATTGGTCTTGGCAATTATTATTTTGGATGTGACACCAAAGCACAGACGACAAAAACAAAAGTAAACAAGTGAGACTACATCAAACTAAAAAGTTTCTGTACAGAAAAGGAAACAGTCAAAAAAATGAAAAACAACCAATAGAAAGGGAGAAAATATTTGCAAACTATATATCAGCTAAGGGATTAATATCCAAAATATAAGGAACTCGTACAACTCAATAGCAAAAAATAATAATAATAACCCAATTTAAAAATGGACAAAGGACTCAAATAGACATTTTTCCAAAGAAGACATACAAATGGCCAACAGTTATGTGAAAAGGTGTCAACATCATTAATCAACAAAGAAATTCAAATTAAACCACAATGAGATATCGCTTCACACCTATTGATATAGCTATTATGAAAAAAAAAAAAGATAACATGAGTTGATGAGGATGTGGAGAAAAGGGAACCCTTGTGCACTGTTGGTGGGAATGTAAATTGGTGCCTCCACTATGAAAACAGCATGGGGGCTCCTCAAAATATTAAAAACAGAAAAAGTTACTCATTTTCCCTGGGTAGCTCCCATTATACATGATATATACATGTTAATAAACATCTATTTGTTTTTCTCTTGTAAAAAATTAAAAATAGAACTACCATATAATCCAGCAATCCTACTTCCTGGTATTGGTCCACAGAAATTAAGATCAGGATTTTGTAGAGAAACCTATACTCTCATGCTCATTGCAGCATTATTCACAATAGCCAAAATATGAAAACCTAACAATCCACCTACAGATGAATGGATAAAGAAAATGTAGTATATACAAACACTGAAATATTATTCATCCTTACAAAAGAAGAAAATCCTGCCATTTGTGCCAACATGGTTGAACATACAGGATATTATGCTAAGTGAAATAAGCCAGCCACAGAAAAACAAACACTGCATGATTTCATTCATATGTGGAGTCTAAAATAGTCAAACTCACAGAAACAAAACAGAGAGAAGAATGGTGATTGCCAAAGGTTAAGAAGAGTTGAAAATCAGGAGGTTATGGCCAAAGGTTATGGTCAAAAGTTTATTATGCATGATATATATATTGTATTGTATACTTAAAACTTGCTAAGAAGGTAGATCTTATGTTAAGTATTATTACCGTACACAGAAAAAATAACAATGATGATGGTCATAATAATAATGAGGGTAGGAGCAAACTTTGAGAGGTGATTAATATATCTATGGCCTGATTGTGGTGATAGTTCCATAGGATAGTTTACTTATGCCCAAACTCATTGAGTTTTATATATTTAATAGGTACAACTTTTTTATATGTCAATCATACCTCACTTAAGTGGTATGAATGAATGAATGAGGCCATAAAAGTACTAAAATAAAATACAGGAATATTTTATTTTTAAATCTCAAAGAGACCATAAATAAAAGATTGATAATTTGATAATTTTTACCACATTATTAATTTCATGTGGCCAAAACCACAGTAAACAAAGTTGAAGGACCAATAGAAAAGTGGAGAAAATAGGACCAATAGAAAAGTGGACTCAACAAGAACAATGAAGTGTCTGTCAGGTTAATTTCCATACACTATACAAACTGTCAAATTGATAAGGAAATCAATAGAAAAACAGGTGAAGGATGTGAACAGAGTTCATAGAAAAAGAACAGCTTTGTATATGTGAAACATCAAGCAGTAGAAAACACTTTACTTCTGTTAATTAGACATCAATCTCCTTAGCAATCTTAGAGGGCAGAAAGAGAAGCACAACATGATTTAATGACTGTGCCAATTGTCTTTCTTGCCATGGAATTATCAATGACACAGATCATACATAACTGGACTATTTTAAGATTCTGGCCAGTGGTGGCCAGAGCTACCTCCTACCGTCTTGTAAGATCAGACTGTACACAAGTCTTCCCAATTCCATGTCCATGGAATATTTACACCACAGAAAATGGCAAATGCTACAAATCAAAGATTTTTTTTAGTTCCAGAGAACCAGCTGTTAAATATTTACCATCACACCACTAGATTCATCCCAAATATCTTCAATCCAGGAGGTTGTCACACTTTCTGAATGTTATTTTTAACTGGGTTAGAGTCAAAATGAGGGCAAAGGTGTCCAATAAGAGACATAGCTGTGTATTTTGAAAAAGATCCCAGATAAATCTGGTATTACAAACATGCATGTCACCAGTCTTGCACTGAGCACTGCAAGAACCCTCTTCTATGCTTTCATGTATTGGCAAAAGGTCTGAAAAAATAGAATTTTAATGTCTTTCAACTTCCCTAAAACCACAAAGCCAAAGCGAGAAACTTAGTTATAAGACAACATGGTTCTCGGCTGGCTCTCAGGAGAAAGGCATGGGACATCAGCTCACCTGAACCTCTATCTTCTCCCTCATGGCCCGGAGCTCCTGTGCCTGCCTGAGTCTCTCCTCAGACTCCTCATCCCGCAGCGACCCGAGGTTGGATCCCATCACACTGTGGGACTGTAGTGCCTTTAGTTTCTGAAAAGGCCAGGGAATCGTGTTATTTAGATGAAAATCTAATCACGATGTTGTTTTTTTCATACCTTGGGCAGTGCCAGAGAAGCACACCATACCCCCACCACACACTTGTCCTCACTAGCTATCTGCCAGTGAATATTCACACAAGTCCATGTTCCCCTTCTCTGGGATTCTCCTGAGACCTCGGGCCTTGCACAGGAAAAGCAATTTCCCATGGAAGGACAGAAAATGGACTGTCTTACAGTGTTTTTTACAATCACTCTAAACGAAATCTTATTTTTTTCCCCTAGAATTTTAAAAAATATGTTAACAAAATAACAACTACACTGAGAATTTTGTATCCAGTTTGATTCCTATACTTTAATAAAAGTAAAATAGTAAAATGTCAAGTGAGAGGAAAAAGGAGTAAGACACACGACATAAGCACATAAGCAGTCCTACAGGGGAGAAGAAAAAAAATTGGATGTTCCAATTTAGAAGAATGTGACCCAAGTTAAAAGGAAACCATGGATGATAAGAATTATGTCCTCATTTGGCAAAACTCAGAATTTCCTAACCAAAAGTAACCTTTTGATCCTTGCTGAGATAGTTTCTGAACAACTCCAAGTTCAAATCAATACCTATCTATCAAATTTCTAGATAACCACACACACACACACACACACACACGCACACACACGCACACACAGAGCGCTCATTTCAACCCCACCCCCTTTCAGTCTCAGACTGAGATGATGGATCACCCAAGACTTCAGGCATATTCTACGACAATCCCCTTCTGGAAAGTTGCCTATGTGTTTCTATAGGCAAAACGTGAAATGGCTGTGAGAAACACTATTTGACAGTTCATTTTCGAAAACAAGAAAAGATTTTCCTTGATGTCAGGAGGGCCCACAGGAGCTAAATACATTCGGAAAGTATTTCTCCTCAAAATTTTTACCCAGATACAGTTTTAGTTATACAGGTTTATATGGGAAAATACAGTCTAGGAATAACATTAGTAAGGTTTTCCTGAATAAATTTGATAGTATATCCAGTAGAAAAGCAGGGGCTTTGAAGTTTAAAGAACTAGGTTCAAATCCCGGCTCCAACTCTTAACAGCTGTGTGACCTTGGGCAAGTTATATGACCTCAATGACTTCACCTGTAAAGTAGGAATGTTAATAGCTTTTCAAAAAAAATTTTTTTTAAGAAATTGATAAACTAATGATGTATCTTTGTGAGTATGTTATGAATGTTTGGTTGTTATGAGGATTCAAAATCAGTGTATATAACGTGTTCTGCATAGGAGCCAGAAAACAGTAAACACAGTGAGTAAATGTTACCTATTGTGTGTAATTTCCACAGTCCCCACAGAGTGCCTACCAGGTAGCTAGCACTCAACAAATAATTATTGAGAGAAAAATACATTCGTTTAAATTTTGCCTCATTTCTTCTCCAGTGATGAAAGCCCTCTGCAAAAATAAGGATAGTATCTACAGAGTTCTTAACTATATACCAGATAATGTTAAGTGCTATTTATGTACTAACTTAACCCTTTCAGCAACTTGTCTTACGAAAAGAAACTAAGGTATGGGAAGATTAAGGAACTCGCCCAAGGCCACACAGCTAGTGTATGATAAAGCAAGAATTCAATCCCAGGCACTGGCCTCTGGTATCTGGCCTTACAGTGGCAGAAGAAATACAACTAGTACAAAGAAATGAATTTTAGAACAAATAAGCAGATTTTCAACAAAAGAAGAAGAAGCAGATTTTCAACAAAAGAATGTTGGGTACCTCCTCTAGTGTAGAGTTATGGTTGGCAACACTTTTAAATTCATCCCAAAATAATTTTTTAAGCTTGTCTATTTCTCCATATAGCTTGGCCCGCTCTTTTTCTTTCCATTCATCAAATTCTTTCTTAGCTTCTATTTCCCTCTGACGAGTGATCTCTGCTTCCTACAAAGAACGACAAGAACAATGGAATCATTAATTCTACATTACGACATATTTACTGAGAAACTGCTAGGGTCCCTTGTCCTTACAAGTCACTATGGAGATCCAAATAACGTTCGTCCCACTGTCCCCATTGGTTGGACTTGGAGTGGGCCAAGTCTTATCAGAAATGTAAAGTCCCTTGAGGATAGGGATCACGTCTTTCCTCTCTATTCCTCACAATGCTTGGCATAGCTGATGCTATGAATGCTGAGGAATGAATGATGAATGAATAAATGAAGGAATGAGTAAGGCAAGTTTATGTATTTTCATTTTACAAATATTTATAGAGTACCTCCTCTGAGCTAGATTCTGGAGCTTTCAGTATAGAACCTCATCTTTGTCCTCAAAGAGTAAACTCAGAGTGTAGTGTAAAATGTTAGAATTCAGGTTCAAATTCCCTCTGAGGGTGCTGAAGAATTCAGGAAACTGCATCTCCCTGCTCTGGTTCTAGCCAGACAGGTCCAACAAATGATTGACTTTTCCTTCCCAGACGACCTAAAATCATTTACCACCTTCAGGAAGATCCATCCTAACTCTGACTCCCAACCCCAGGAGACCAGCCAGAATTTTGGCCCTGCGGGAGACGTGTGCATCCTGAGTTTCTTGGGCTGTTCATGACCGAGTCCCCTGACATTTCTTCTCCACGCCTACCTGAAGCATCCGCTGCCTCTCAGCCTCCCTCTGGGCTTCCAGCTCCCCTTGGGTCCACTTTAGCTTGGCCTGCAGCTCTTCTAACACCTCCTCCACTGGCTGTTCCTGCTTCTTCTGTTTTCCTGTGCAGTCCATGCAAAGGGAGGGTGATCAGTTTAAGTGAAATATTCAGTGGAGTGTAGCTCCTCGCCTGTGTAATCAATCACACCTTGGTCTGAGACCAGCTTTGCAACTCACATTGTACACTGACTTTGGGCAAATAACATAACCTCTAACCCTCAGTTTCCTCAAATTGAAAAATGGAGATAATAATAGCACCTAACTGAGAGGGGTTTTGAGGATGAAATGTGATCATGCGAAGTGCTTTGTATAGTGCCTGGCATGACAGCTCAATAAATGTGAACTACTGCTGTCATTTAAAACTATTTTAATAGTACTGACATATGGAAATGTGAATGCAAAATTATTAGAGTAACAGAAGCAGAACACCAAATAGCATGTACATGCTAATTATTAATACAAAGATCGTATCTATGTATCCTGACAGTAATCAGAGAATACTAAAAATACTTTTAGTTTTGAGTTCATTTTTTTCAATAATTTAAATAGAATTTTAAATTTCAGATGAAAGAAAGACAGAATGTATTATGCAGGAACATTTTAGCCCAGGTAGGTTTAAGTGTGTACTTTAAGTTTTTTAAGTAAAAAAAAAGATTCAGGATGAATTATAAAAGAACTTTCTAACTAAACCACATACTGATAAAGCAAGAGTTAAGGGTTAATGAAAAAGATACCAATTGTACTTGTATATTTGTTACTCTTTAAAGTACATTTAATGATTATTAGATACATGGTGCTGTTATTAAAACTCTAAGCCTTTCTTTGAAAAGAGATATGGCTTTTCTCAGATGGGACTTTTTGGAAACAAGCAATTTTTAGATGTGGTAGAAATTGATTTGGGTTAATAATGTGACGTGAGTGTGGAGAGCTGGGGTATCTGAGAAGCCAGCTGCCTGAGAATAAAAGGTCATGAACATGAAGTAGCAAAGTTGCCTTAAGAACATCTTTTCCCTTTCTTTGCATCACTTTACATTAAAGAAATAATAAGAATATATTCAAAAATGCACATACAAGAATTGATCATCATGTGGTTTATAGTAGGAAAATTTTTGAGTAACCTGTGTAAATAATGACATAATTCAACTGTGAAATAAATTATGTAGCCATATGATAATATTCAGCCTTTTAGAATCATGTTTTCAAAGATGATTTAATGACATTGGAAAATGTGATATATTCTTAATTGAAAATAAAAAATAGTCAAAACTGCATACGGTACAATTATATATGTATACAGAAAAATAATGACAGAGAATACACCAAAATATTAACCACGGGATATTGTCCATAATTTTTGTTTTCTCTTCTCTACCTTCTTGTATTTAAACTTTCTATATTGAAGGCATTTTTTCCAATTTTTTTATTGTGGCAAAATACATGTAACATAAAATTTACCAACTTAACCATTTTTAGTGTACATTTCAGTGATATTAAATACATTCATAATGATGTGCGGCCATCGCCACCACCCATCCCCATAACTCTTTTCATCTTGTAGAAAAGAAACTCTGCACTCATTAAATACTAACTCCCCATTCTCCAGCTCTCAGCCCCGGCCCACCACCAATCTACTTTCTGTTTCTATGAATTTGACAACTCTAGGTATCTCATGTAAGTGGAATCATATAGTATTTGTGTGTTTGTAACTGATTTGTCCTCAAGGTTCATTCATATTGTAGTATATGTCAGAATTTTCTTTCTTTTCAAGGCTGAATATACACCACAATTTGTTTATGTATTCACCTATCAATGGACATTTGGGTTGCTTCCACATCTTAGCTAGTAAGAACAATGCTGCAGTAAATACAGGTGTATTAATATCTCTTTAAAGACACATAATTTTATCAAAAAATATTTAAGATGTGGAAAATCTGTTTTTCTTTAGCAGCCTCTCATGCAGAACCAAGCAGAAATAGATATGGAATAAATACATAGTAACTAGGTAAATAGTGCTATTTTAAAACTCTGTCTTTTCTTTGAATAGGAAATAAAAGTTTTAATTAAGGGGATTTATATATTTATTTTATATTTTTATGTTTCAACAAGTATTTCTCATTGAATCTCAAAAATTGATATAAAGTATGCAAATCTCTCTATCTGGGAAACATACAGCTTGCTATTCATCTTGGAATTTGAAACAGTAAAATTAAAGTAGTCACATCATAATAAGCTCATGTACATAAAAAAGTCCAAGACCTGCTTTGACTGCTCATTAACTCCATTTAAGCTCATTCATAGTTAGCATGAGAGAATACCAGCGTCACAGAAGGTTTTAATTAATGGGATTTATATATTTATATAACAGAAGGTTGAGGGGGTAAGGCCCACTCACAGGGAAAGTCACTGAGATTCAGAGGGGGAATGATTGACCATGGTCACATAGTAGAAAGGGGCAAAGCTAAAACCGGATTCTGCCTGTCTGACTCCTAGCCCTCTTTCTCTACACATGTGGTCAGAAACCCTCTCAGCCCCATGGGGGATTCCCCATTGTAAATGATGGGATCACCCCATCTTTAACTGAGGGCATACACCTTTGGTATTACACCCTCCACCCTCTGAAGTCCAGCTGCGGTCCTTCCACAGTGCCAGAAAGGCCACCTAGACTCACCACCTTCCGCCATGCCCCCATGCCTGCGCTGGATGTGGCCCCGGAGAAAGGTGGCATTCATGAACGTCTTGTCACACAGGTGGCACTACACAGAGGGGAAGTAGTGGGAAGTGCAGGATTAGATCATCTGAACCAGCCTGGGATTCTCCCTATATCAAAAGTTCCATTACCTTGGGACCTCTGAGCTGCTTCAGAAATGCAGAATTTGACTTACTAAGTAAGGTAGCAATATCAACATCCACCCCTGCAAAAAAGATATATATATGTTGGCCTAAAGATGTATATATCCTTATTGGCCTAAGCCAGGTTAGATTGCTATTCTGTCACTACTGAAAGGATTCTGACCCTTTTTATCATGATTAATATTATATCAATTACCATTCTATTGATTAACATTGTATCATATATATGTGGCATTGTGTTAATGTTTAAAAGTGGGAGTCCTTGTCTTTTAGAAATACAAACTGAAATCTTTACAGTTAAAATCATGACTAATACACTTCAAAATAATCTAGGGTGAGGAAAAGCGGGTAGGGGAACAAATACAACAACATTGGCCATGAGTTGATAACTATTGGGTTGGGTAGTATGTAAATGAAGGTTCATTATATTATTCTCTCTATGTTCATATATGTTTAAAACTTTCCATAATAAAAAGGGTTTTTATAAATGTCCAAGTCCCACCCCAATGTGTTGAGAACCACCACAGCAGAGGATAGCAAATAATAACATCTCTAATTTTACGTCACTTTCCTAAGGCATTTTAGACACTGCCAATTTATCATATCGTTTTTTCACTGTAAAACTTCAAAATTCTTCCAACACAGCTGTGCAGGCTGCCGTAACCAGTCAATCAGAGTAAGAGGGCATATTGCAATCTTTACAAAAGGGCAAATGTGACAGAAATTGCCAGTTGTCTCCAATACCCATTTTCCCTTTTTCCTTAGTAACGGACACCCTGATTTATAGCTGATCATGAAGCTAATGATAATAAACACTGTATGTCCCAGCCTCTCTTGTAACCAGATATGGCCATGGGACTAAATTCTGGCCAATGATATGCAAGCAGAAGTGGTATATGAAACTTCTGGAAGGTGTCATTAAAGAAAGAGTTATGACATTCCTCACTCTCCCTCCTCTTGCTGAACAGAATGTAGACTTGAGAGGTGGAATTCAGGCAGCTATCTTGGACTGTGAGGCAGAAGCCAGATGACAAGGCTGGCAGAGAAACATAAAGAACTGGTTATGTCCCATTGATGGTTATGGCATTACATACCAGCCCCGATTTACTTACCCGTAAACTGTGTTCATAAGAGAGAAAAATAAACTTTGAACTGATTCGAACAATTATGATTTGAGCTTTTCTGCCAGCCATAGTCAAACTTAATCCAAACGGACACAACCTGGATTGACACACTTAGCCCAGTCTGGAGTTCCAAAGTAACACAAACGGGTTTCTAGTTTTCAGAAGGGCTTTTCTGCCAGCCATAGTCAAACTTAATCCAAACAGACACAACCTGGATTGACACACTAACCCAGTCTGGAGTTCTAAAGTAACACAAACGGGTTTCTAGTTTTCAGAAGGAATATGAATTGGGTGGGGTAGGATATATTTTTTAAGGCATCTTATTCCAAATTATAAGCCCTTTCCCTCATCCCGTTCTTCCCTGCTTCCCCATTCCCACCTCAAGCAGGACACTCACAAACAAGGCACCTGAAGTTGGACAGCCACCATTGACTTCAGACTAAAACACTCTATCATAGCATTCAAGGCCACCAGGACCTGGCTCTGCTATCCTCCCCTGCCACATCTCTCATCACAGTCCCCCTCAGGCCAAACCCCACCTCGGGCCACTCCAAAGCCATCACACGGAGCACCCTTCTCACACTAGTACCTTGGCTGTCTCTGCCCATAACACTCCTTTACAAAACTGTGCTCAACATTCAAGGTTCAGTTTAAACACCACCTCAGGAAGACTCCTCCCCTTCCTCCTCTGTGCTCCCACAGCTCCTCAGTCATTTACTTACTCAGTACTTTCTCCAAATTAATGCTATTCATTTTTGGCAGTACAGTAGCCACTTCCTCTTCTTCTGATAATAGCAACCCAACTTTCTGCTGGGAATTACCTTCTCCCTTACTCTCAAGCCGTGAGCTTCAGTTCACCCCATGGTCTACAATGGAACATGTGACCTAGACCAAAGCCAATCAGAGCCCTGCATTCCCAGGGTCATGTGACTGGTTCAGAGATGGATAGAAGACCTAAACATAGGAGACACACTGAAATACTGGCTGGGCTACTGGGACCAAAGTAGGTCCTCTGTCACGTCAGCCTTAAATCTGGTAAAATGAGCAATTGGCATTACAGTAGCCCAACTTGGTACCACGTAAAGATTCTTTATAAGAATGGAATCCACGCTGAGGAAGAATTGCCAAAAGCTGCAGGGAAAAAAAAAAAAGTTCTGGTGCCATCTGATTACTGGGGCAAAGCCACACCTGAGTGCCACCACGACCCTGGATTTTTCAATTAAATTACCCTATAAGTTCTTTATTGGCCTAACCAAATTGGCTATTATGTCACTTAAGTACTGAAGGGATCTGACCTTTTTTTTTTATCATAAGTACATTATATAAATTATATCAATTACCATTCCAACAATTAACATTATATGATAATGATTCCTTTTGTCCCATCAACCCCAAACCATGGATTTCCTAAAAACCTGAACTAACATGACTTGCACCTACATCCTCAAAGCCTGGCACAGAGCCTGCCTACCATGACAATTTATTAAAGGTCAACAGTCTCCAATCCACACTTTCCATGAAAATACGTGCAAATGCTCAAATATCACTCTGGGTAACTGTCATTTGGTTGAATAATGAAGTCACTTTTCCAGAGTGAACCTGATTCTACCAGTCCCTTGCCACATATTGATTACACACAAACACCCATCTTAAATACACTCTCGCATACCACACTCTCATACACAAACCCCTCACATATACACACATACATACACATTCACACCTCCATAAATACACTCACCCTTAGACATATATACACCCTCATTCATTCACACACCATAAATATATCTTTATATGTACACTCGTACACACATACAAGCACATATTACGCACCACCCACTCCATATACACACACATGGCATACACAGATGTACCCTCCAAACATTCACATGCATACATTAGACACACACATATTCCCTCTTTCCATAAGCACGTACACACCTCCTCCATACATTCACATGCAAACACTAGACATATACCCTCTCTATAAACATGTGCACATAAATCCTTCACACACTCACCTGCTGTACATGTATAATCTCCATACACACATACACACACACACACACACACACACACACACATACACACACTCTATAGAACCTGATCAGACACCCTCAGACTCTCTGGCCATAATCGGAATCTCTAAAATCTGCTCCTAACCAGTGAGAATGGCCCACAGCAGTCTCAAGGTTCAGAGAGCAGTGCTACCAAGATGGCCCAGAGGCTGGGTGCATGGCCTTCCCACTCTCCCTGCCCTGCCAAGATTACTCACCATTTGGTAGCTGTGGGCACCTGTCTGCAGGAGCAGCTGCTGCAAGGTACTGATCATCTTGCGACGCCGGCGGCTCTCCTCCCGCACACCTTTGAGCTCGTCAGCCTGGCGGCCCAGCTCCTGCTGACCACGCTCCTGCTGGCCCAGGCTGGCCTGCAGCCGTGCCTCGAGCTGGGCAACACTGGCACTCAGGCAGTCTTGACAGTGCAGCAGGTACTCAATGATGAGCTGTGCCAGGCGCAGCACCTTGAGCAGTGCTGGGTCCACAGGCTGTCCACAGCGGCTGCAGGCCTCCCGGTCCAAGTTGCAGAAGGTGACACCAGCAATGTTTTCCTGCAGGGTAGCCACGTCTAGCTCCCGTGCCACGCGGTCCACATCTAGGGCGCTAATGCGCCTCCAGTCCACACTCTCATGGCGAGGCTGGAACTTGAAGGTAGGGAGTGCATAGGCCCCAAAGAGGGGACCACTGAGGCCCTCAGCAGTGTGAGCAGGAGACTGCATGGGCAGGGGAAGCCCTGGGCTGATCACTGGGGACGGGTGCCGCCAAGGCCACGGCAGCAAGCAAAGGAGCTGAGAAAGGGCCTAGAAAATGAGAAGAGAGTACAAGTTAGGCAAGATTCATGGGCTGCATGTACCATGCACCAGGCCAGCAAGAGCTTAAGTGGGGTAAGGTGAAGGATCTGAACAACAGCTGGAGTATGCGTGGTATGTGATAACATGGCTAGAGGCATGGAAGGCAAGGATATAGGCTTTATCATCATACAGATATGGATTCAGACCCTCAACCTTGGGCAAGTTCCTTCACGTCTTTAAGCCTCCTAGGTACATTGGGGATCACAGGGATCATGGGGCTCACTTTACAGGATTGTGGTTAGCAATGAGGAAGGTGAAGCACCCAGCCTAATACCTGGCACGTAGTAGGTCCTCAGTGAACATCCCCATGCCCAAGTCCACTGCCAGAGGTCTTTGTCGGGGGAAACTGTCAAATGCAGAAGTGGGTCCTTCTGCAACCCTACATTGACTTCAGGATAAAGTCCAACAATTCGCATGGGTGGCAGAGCCACCTAATGTCCACGACATCCCCTCCTGTTCTCCTGTAATTACCAGATTGTAGTGGACAGGGATGGGCTACATTTCCCAGTTTTCCCTGAAGGAAGATGTGATCATATGTCTATGTTTTCTCGTGGGATGTGAGTGAAATGATGCCCACCACTGCAGGAGTGGCGGGGAGACAGGAGGGTGGGGGCAATGGTGCTTAAGAGAGTGGCCATGTCTCTGCACGCAATTGTGCTCAATCTATGACAGTATTTTTCTCAGATCTAATAGTGTAGTGAAAAGACCTCCAGTTTTTTGTCAGTGATTCAGATTCTACTCTCCACTTTCTTGGTAGACATCAAAACTGCTCTCTCTCTTTGAAGATTAATTTGACGATAGCAACAGAAATTTTAAACAAACAATCCACTACTAAGAATTACAATTTATCCTACAGATAAACTCATACAAGTGTGCAAAACTGCTTGTACAAAAACTATCATTGTAGTATTGTTTGTAATAGCAAAGTATAAGAAAAAGTACAAAAAAAAACAAAGTACAAAGTACAATAGGGGCTATAAAAGGTATCTCTATACAATGGAATACGACGAGGCTATTGATGAGAATAAAGCAGCTTTACATGTACTGGTATGGAATAATGATCACATATATGTATATATCTTTCTATTTCTGTTTAAATGATATAACATAATCACATTTAATAGTAACTCGCAAAAATAAAGGAGCTATGTATATCTCACATAATTATCTATATGTCTAAATATATATATAAATAGATATAGATATATCACATTAGAATGGCTGCCTATGAGGGAGGAGGGCAATGGGAGTAAATAAATGAATAGATGGATGGTGCATGGGTAGAAAATGGATAGACAGAAAGATAGATAAATAGACAGGCCTTTCACAGACCAATAATGATTATTTTATTTATATACACATATATACATATGTATATGTACATATATGAATGATTCTATTTGTTATTCATGTATAATCATAATTAAATAAAATACATATACTAATTTATGATTCGTTATTATTATTTCATAAGCATAGACTATCTCTAGAAAAATTAGCAGGCTATTAGCCATAGTTACCAGTTACCTCTGGGAATGGGAATAGAAGTTAGGTCCTTTATCTTCCATTTTCCACTTCTCTATACTATTTAAAGTTCTTACATCATCATCAATTACTTTTATAATTTTTTAAAGAAAAAATATAATTTCTGCCCTTGAGGAACTTAGAATCTGGGGCAACAAGAAGTGCATGTGACCCTATTTAACCAAATTCTTTCTAGATCATGTGATTCCAACTTTTAAGTGCAATAGAAAGTCAGAGAATTGAAAGGTCATTGACCTCATGAAGAGGAAAGGCCTTGAAGAAATGGTGAGGCTGGGTCTGCAAAAAGGGGAAGGACGTCCAAGAAAGGACCTCCCTGAGCCTCTGTCTTCATTTGGGAAAGGCGGTGACAGGCCTGCCCTACCTACCCACAGCATACTGTGAAAACTAGAAGAGATGCAGGCGGAAGGCATTCAGTAATAATAACAGCTCTGTGCCAGCTATAAACTCTAACTACAAACCTACAAACAGCTATTACTGTTCCCATTGTACAGACAAGGAAACTGATGTCTGGAGAGGTTATGTGGCTCTCCTCAGATAGGGAGGCCAGAGTTGAAATACAGTTAGAGGTGCATCTGGCTCCACAGCTTGTGGACTTTGAACCACCCAACATGATTCTTGAGGCTCTTTGCCTTAAAAATTTGCTTTGATCAGATCATCACCCTGTATCCCTCAAACTCCTTCATTCATTCACTCACTACACCCTCATTTACAGCATGATTACCTGGGCCAGGCCTGGTGCCAGGCACTGGGGCTACCGAGGCGTATTAACCACACACTGTCCTGCCCACCCAGGAACTCAGTGTGGCTCCTTATTGCCACAGTCCAAGTCCAAACCCTAAACCAGGTCTGGAAGACTGCCCACAGGATGCCACAGACCTACCTTTTCCATTTCAGCTTCTATGCTTCCCTTTCTCAAATACTCTTCCCCAATTCATATTTCAAAATCACGACTCTCCAGCCACAAGCATCCCGACCATGGCATGAGGAGAAGACCAGTACGTTTCTACTTAACATGTCACAGTATTTAAAATTAGAAAAAAGGAGGCAGGCGATATGGTACTCACCATGCTCAGCTTCAAGACACAACTGTGTCATTTGAGCCTCAGAGACAATTGCCACAACAAGCCGTGGCTTGGAACAACAGCAGGTTACCAGGCATGCTGTGGGCAAGAGTAACAGGACACCTGCTTCCTGTCCTCCTGCAGACTAGGAGCTCACCTGAGAATGCACCGTTTAACTATTTAAGCTTTGGCCTCAGATGTTTGCCCACAATCCTCTTCCTAACAATAAGGCCAAGAACGCTCCATCGGCAATCCTCTCGGCTCTCCTCCCACCCCTTTTAATACTCCTTCCAGCCTCTTCCTTGAATGGTTACTACACTTCACCCCTCCTTTAAGGCAGAGTGTGCCGGTGTCCCTGTAATATTCTGCTGTTCACCCATACCTATCTCTCCCTGCACATTCTCCTTGGGCATGACTTCAGGGATATCCGCAGCTTCAGCTATCGTAGGCCTACTTTAGGCTGAGCCTGAGCCGCTTCCAAATCTCTTTCTTACAGGCCCATCTGTCTCTTGGAACCTTTAGAACAAACCTTCCAATACTGATAATACCAGAAATTTCAAATCAGAATTCCACCAGGCCCAGGAAGGTAGCATTAAATGCAGGTAACATGCCAGGTATAAAAGAAACCACAGTCCAAGCTTGATGATACATGGCAACCGATTCTCTATCTTAGTGTCCAAGATATAATTAGGCAGCGGTTCTCAAGTGTGATCCCTGGACCAGCAGTAACCAGCATCACCTGGGTCCTTGAGAACTGCAGATCTCCAGACTTATTAATTCAGAACCACTGCAGTAGGTTGGGACAGGGAGTGTTGTGGATTGTGGCAAATGGGAGGGCATGCCCTGCTTAAAAGGGACAGCCACCATTCAGCCATATGGGAATGGATTTTATGTGTTCCTCGGGAGCTAATTCCAAATTTATTACAAAGATATTCAAAGACCTCTATGAACTGTTTCTAAACTACCTTTCTAGCTGCATCTCCTACTTACCACATCGCTTGCTGTCTACACTTTCATATATCCGGGCTATTTGTTTATAGGCACTGTTTTTAAATGCTTTACAAAGAAAAACTCATGTAATCTTCAGAATACTCTCTCAAGGAGGTATTATAATGATCTAAGCCACAAATAAGTGCAGAAGCTTGCCCCAGGTATAGGAGGCAGGATCCAAACCCATGCAGCCTGGTTACAGAGTCTGAACTCTTAGACAATGTGCTATGCTGCCTCTTGGTTTAGATGGCCCTCCACCATGTCCTTCTGCTCCTACTAAAGGTGAATGTATGTACCATATCACCTGCCTCCTTTTTTCTAATTTTCAAGTATTTTCTTATACACGATTGCCACCATAAATCCCTCCTAGGCCCACAGTTAGAATTCCCTGATCCTCCCCAGGGCTCCCAGAGCACAGAGCATATACTTCTTTAGCCGCCCTCACCACCTGTGGTCTGAGGAAGGGTGGCTATACAGCAGTCATTCATCCATCCCATCAGCAAACGATTCCTGAGCCCCGACTAAGTGCCAGGCACTGTGACTGACACTCAGGATTGATGGTGACCCAGACAACAGTCCCTGCCATTGTTAATAGAAATAGTTAACAGTTCTGGAACTGTGTGCTCCAGACACAGTTATAAAGCTTTATATGTATTACCCATTTAATTCTCACAAAAATCGAGTATGCAGATGAAGAAACTGGGAGATGAACAAAGAGGGCAAGTGACTTTCCCACAATCGCACAACTGGTAAGAGATGGTATCTGGTTCCAGTGTTTGTTTTCCAGAAAGACAGAAAAATACACAGAAATTACCCTACAGAGTGTTGAGTGCCAGGGTAGGAGCTGGGGCAGGGTGCTGTGGAAGCACCAAGGAGTGGCCTTACCAGGACAGTCTGTCTCATTTCTCCCCTCACCCCATCCCCACTCTCCCAGCTATGAGATCCACAAGGGCTGAGACCTTGGCTTATTCACGTCCTTTGTATTCCAGCCCCTAGCATATTACCTGTAGCCTAGATTGCTATTGAACTGAGCAGAACTGTCAAAATCTTAGAATATCAGACTCAAAATTCTACATCCTTGGGGTCTTGAGAAATGAGGCTATGAACCAGCAAACATTAGGATAAAGAGGAAGAATGGAGCTAGGAGTTCTTAATTTGGACTCCTTGGAGAAAAATGCCATTCAGACTTAGTAAAATGATTGATTTGTGGACCATCTATGTTCATAGCTTAATCCCATGGGCTACTAATGAAAGCTTAAAGTACAGGAGCCATTATGGGTGGGCCCAGGTATATCAGTGAGATGCCCCAGTGCCCACACTGACTGTCAAGATGTAGCCACAATGTTCTAGCTGGCCTCCTGACCATCCCTAATACCCTTATGTTGACATTCTGAGCACACTCTGTAAAAACGAAAGGCGTCAGGCCCACTCCCAGTTATCCAAAATTCTGAATTAGGGGTCTGATTTCATGATGTTTTACTGAGCCCCAAAAGTATTACTCCTGTCTTCTACTAGAACCCCAAAGGTCAATTTCAGCAGCCCTAGAGCTCTGACATCAAAAGGTGAACAGAACTGTGGAAATCTGAGGATTATGATGATGAGAACAGCCCTCACTCTTTAAGTATATATGTGCCTGCCTTTAAATGTACTATTTCTAGCTGTCATACAGCCTCATATGTAGCTATGATTTGCCTCATCTGACAAATGTAAAAATGGAGGCTCAGAAAAGCTAAGGGACCTTTCCCCGTGTCACTCAACTAGGAAGTAACAGAGCCAAGATTCAAATCAAGTTCCATATGAGTTCAAAGCTTTTGAATTATGCCAAACTACTTCCCAATGATGATGATAATGATACATAAACTCTTTTCCATTACAAAAATTACATTACCTGAGATTTCTTGACCAAACTGCAAGGACTGAAACAGTTTACAGCAAATCACAACAGAGTCAGGGCTGGAGACCTCAAATTCTTCCTGTTTCCCCGCAGATTCAACTCCACAGCTTGCATTGAGTCAGGACAGGCAGAAGACAAAGCCAGATGAGAACGCCACAGGTTACCTGGAAACCACATACCCTAGGGAAAGGAACACTGTGCTTTCTCCAGACTGAATCAGCAGCAGACTGCTTTTCCCACATCTGGGAATAGAAACACAGGCAGAAATGACTCGCCGTCATTAGGAAATCTGAAGCTACGTTAACCATCTCTAGATGTTTTGATAGGGTTCCAGGAAACCTCCCAATCCTAGACCAATGTCACGAACTAGTGGAACCCAAAAGAATAATATTTATGCTAGCATTCCAAACTCACTTCGTTGTTGAAGAGATCATTTCTACCTGGGGCACTCCCCGCAGCCAAGAAAGGAAGTCCATCTACCACCCTCGCTTTGCACATTCCCAGTGATGAGATGCCACCTCACAAGGCAACCATCCCACCGTGGAACAATTCCTGAGACTTTATGGTTCTTCTGAAACCTGACCACTACAATCTGTGAAAGATAACTTCCACAAATCCACCCAACAGCTGAATTTAAAAGAAATTCTGGCTGACCTTTCAATGTAAATTGACAGCTAAACTAAACTACTGCCACTGCCACTTTCCTGTCTCTTCTGCTTCCTCGAGAATGCAGCCAAGAGGAACACAGGGAGGGAGAGCCAAGCTTCCAAGGCCGCTGCCAGGCAATCATTGACAAGCCTACCTGGGCTCCCAGCTAACTTCAGCAGTGCCTGCCTCAGGGAGCTCAGGCGTGTCATTAGTGCTAATTGTTGTGTCTACCAAGGTAACCTTCCCACAGTTTGCAAACAGGCTATGCACACACTGTAGGCAAGGGAGTGAGAGAGACCCCAAAGGAGATGAGAACGACCTAGGAGCTCTCCTAGAGCACTCCTCTTACAGACCTTAGACTTCTCTCATTCTGTTGTTTTCTAAAGAAGGTTCTCCTTTCTACTCTTTCCTGTTATGGGGGCTGCCCCGCCTTCCCAGAATCATTAAGTAGCAAGAGAGAGATCTGCTCCACCAGGGACACAGCTCTCCCTTGTAGCTGGCCTCCTTTCCCAGAAACTTTAAGAAGATATTTTTAAAAGCCAGTGTCCATGGTTTGCTCAAAAACCTATTTTAAGTTGTTTGCCACAAAAGGATTTTCTTTAAAATAAAAATAGGAGGCGGAGATTTGACTGACAACTCTCAGGAGTATTACAGAGAAAAAGACTACATACTGACATGACCTATTTTCCCAGGTACAAAATTGTCAAAAACCAACACTACTTTACACATCTAAAAGAAAACCAGTTTAGAATATACTACTGGTGTTTTCTTTCCCATGGAAGAATCATTGCTACCTGGTAGAGTTTCTCCATCCTCAGCACCTAGGCTATTAGACCCCACAGAATCCTCCCTAGAGGTATGAAATCTAGTGACAGGTGGCATTGCAGGTAATTAACCCTGCTGACCAGGACTGGTCAAGGGGCCAACAAGGTGATTCAGAACAGTCCAACAAGTTGTCCCCTTCCCTGCTCCTGCCAGTTTCAACTGAGCAACAAGCCTTTTGACCAAAATCCAGGTCCGTAGCAGAATCCAGTTATGTTGCACAAATGAACTCAGTTTTCTGTTCCCAGCCTGAAGGATATAATTTCATAGGACCACTTTATCAAGTTGGACAGTGTCCAAAAATATTTCCACATGAGGGAAATATCTCTAGACCCTTGGTGCTGACGGACACAGAAAAAAGCCACTTACCAGCCACTTGACTGAAGGATCAGACTTCTCTAGGTGGGGTTGTTCTCAGCGGCCAGTCCGGCTCCAGCAGGAGGCGTTAAGTAAGGGCTGTGTGAAAAAGGAGAGACCACATGCCTTGTCTGCAGATGGGGGTGTGCAAGGCCACAGTCAGTGCCCCTGACACTCACCAGACCTCTCTTCAAAGTCCAGTTAGAAATCAAATTCCGGAGACAACGCAGGGACAGGCAGGCCCTGTGCCCTAAGGAACACTGCGGGAATGGTAGCCGCTGCCCAGGCCCGGGGGCCGTCCTCTGCCCCGCCCCGCCTCTGGACCCTTGTCCTGGACCAAGCAAGTCTCCCCTGGATTTTTATCTGCAGCTGCCTCAAAACGAAAACACCATTGCTGACTCCTGATATACTCCACCCCGGGAGTGTGTGTATCTGGGGGCGGGAGGGGGGGGTGGCGGGACTAGAGATGCCAAAGTTCGTTTGCAAGTCATCTCATTACTAAAAGATCCCCTTTTACTGACAGAACTCAAACGCATGAAGCACCTCAAATCATTTTAGTTTTTAAATCCAAGGCTATCCTCCCAGGGAAGCTCATCCTGGGGGCTTCAGGTATCACGGCTCCCATCCAGGGGTACTTCTGTCCAGAGCAGGTCGAAGGAGCGGGAGTCTAGGGCCGAAGGCGAGCACAGAAGTAGCGCGTCTGGAGGACCCCCCGGCGCAGCTCTGCAGCTCCAGGGCTGGATCCCCGCAAGGCGTCCGGAGCCACTAATGTTTAATCTCCTGCGGCCCGCGGCCCGGATCACTGGGACTGCAAGGACGCTCCCCACCCCCGCCCCTCCCGGGCCGAATTCCTGGCATAGTTTTCTCACAAGTCCGGGCTCACCTGGGGGTCCTCGGAGCCGGGAGAAAGGGCAGAGGTCGCAGAGGCGCCGGCTCCCCTTCTCGGCCCGGCTCCGCCTCTCAGCTCGCTCCACCGCCCCCGACTGTCCCAGGCAGTTCCCGGAATCCTCGCTGCGGCGCTGGCGGGGATGCTTCCCCAGCCTCGAGGAGCCCAGGAGTTTTCGGGGGCCGGGACAGAGCCGCCAACCTGCCCAGCCAGAGACAAGAGAACCTCTCCGCGCCAGCAGCTGGAGGCCTGGGGTCTCTGACTCCTCTCGCTTCTACAACAGCCGCCCCACCCCACCCCAAGGAGGGGTGGAGTCTCTCCCCAACCCCCCGGGAGGAGTTATTTTTAGACATGTTACGGAGGGAGCGAAGGAGGGAATGCCACATTTAATCCGTTAGGAAAATCCAGGATCCATGTGAACGCTCTCAGGCCTCGCTGAGAGGCCAGAGGCCAGACTGCGTACACACACACACACACACACACACACACACACACACACACACACACACACAATCCTGGTACAGTTGTTGGCCTGCTGAAAGCAGGGACAACTGCAGCCTCCCGGGTAGACAGCCCAGCCCACCCACCGGCCCTAAACTAAAAGAACCTTACTGGTTTCTGATACCCTGCCGTTCTAGTCCTGAGCCTGAGTCCCAGCCTGGTCGGATGTCGACCACCACCACCACCACCACCCAATCTGCTGGATTGTCCTGTGGATCCAGCTCTGAAACCCAGGCCTGAAGAACTCTTTTTTCCTGATATTGGTCCCTGATCCCCAACCATAGACAGTCTTTGCTTTACCGAAACTCAGATTTCTGGGAATTCTTTTTTAAGGCTTTCTTCCTACCCATCCTACCCCATCCCCCCAATCACCCCCTCATCCTCCTAACATCCCACCCCCCTTCCCACCCCACCACACCCCAGACTCAATTGGACCAAGCTCTCTCTCTTGGGGCAACCAAAGCAAAAATGTGTGTGAACAGTGTTGGCAAGGATATGAAGAAACTGGACCCCTCATGCATTGCTGGTGGGAATGTACATGGCGATTCCACAAATAATTAAACATAGAATTATCATAGGATGCAGCAATTCCATTTCTGGGTATATACCCAAAAGAACTGAAAACGGGGACTTGGATATTTGGATATAGCAGCATTATTCACAATAGCCAAAAGGTGGAGACAACCCAAGTGTCCATTGCCATATGAATGGATAAACAAAATGTAATATATACATACAATGGAATAGTATTAAACCTTAAAAAAATAATGAAATTCTGATACACGCTACGACATAAATGAACCTTGAAAATATGATGCTGAGTGAAATAAGCCAGACACAAAAGGATAAATATTACATGATTCCACTTATACAAGGTACCTAGAATTGTCCAATTTATAGAGATATTTCAGAAAGCAGAATAGTGGTTACCAGGGCTGGGGTGGGGAGTTAATGTGTATAGTGTTTTACTTTGGAAAGATGAAAAGGTTACAGAAATGGATAGTGGTGTGGGTTGTACAACAATGTGAATGTACTTAATGTCCCTGAATTGTAGACTTTAAAGTGGTTAAAATGGTAAATGTTATGATTTTATATTTTACCACAATATTTTAAATGTTAAAAACAAGTGGATGGAGCGGGAACCAGGACCAAGTAAGGCCTTTCTGTGAGCCATCTACTTTGTGAGAAATCTTGTTCCTCCTCTCCTCTCTTGGTCAGGGGACACTTTTCTCTCCACTGGAAGGGAGAGAAGAGCCCAGGCTTTGGAGTCATCTATCTTCCACATTTCTAAGCTTTGTAATTCTGGGAAAGTCATTTAACCTCTCTATAAAATAGAAAAAATAAACTCTACCTACCAGGGTCATTATGAAACCACATTAGCTAAAGCATCTCTAGGCTCAGCCCGTGGACTGGCAGTCAGTGCGTGTCCTCTGAGTTCAGCACAGTGTGAAATCTGTTGGAGCTTGGAGCATTTGTTTCTCAGCTCTCTTCCCACCGCCATCCTGAAGTGTGGAGCAAGTAGCTCTGGGAGAACCTGTTTGTTTTCATCATTTCCACCAGTATCAATTTCCCCATGTGTAAATGTGTCCCCTCTTTTGCAGGGCTGTTGTGAGAAAGTAGACTTGACATGCAACTCAGTCCACCTTGTCGGTAATGCCAAAAGCTAAAGACTCCATCCTCAATTGACCAAGACCTGTCATGCATGAAACCCTCACACCCTTCCCTTACTGGGCCACAGTTCAACATTCAATACAGCCAAGAGTAATTGAGTACCCACTGTGTGCCAGGCTCTGTTCCAGGTCCTGAAGATACCAAGAGTTTGCAGAGAATTAGATCACTTAGCTCTGGGAAGCTGTCATCCTCTGCCACAGCATGCACAAGATTTGGTGGCACCAGTGTCAGTCCCTGACACAGAAACAGGACCAAGGAGACTGGCCCTAGATGGCTAGTCCAGGGCACATTATTTAAATGCAGACATGATGACTGGAGATCAGGAAGCAATATGGACCATAAGCTGTGGACACTAAGGATGACAAACAGAAAGATGCAAAGAGCCTTAGTCTCTGATGACTGTGGTGACCACACTCACTCTGAATTCCCTGCCCTCAGATTCTTTTACAGGAGAGAGAAATAAAATTCTATATTATATATACCAATGGTCTTTAGAATTTTTCTATTACAGACAGAGAAAACTAATCCTAACTGACATGTGGATAAGCCCCCGCACCCCTGAGAAGAGTGGAGATCGAGGGAAAGGGAGATGCTCCAGGCAGCACTTGGTTCCACGACGTAGCAGCAACAACCCAGCGCTGGAACTATTCGTTACCTAGACCCAGCTCCCCGGTCACCAACCCTTCTGGGCCTTGAATCAGGACCCTGTAAGTCCTAGGACAGTGTTTACGGTAGAGATTTTCCACTAGCGTGTTGCTGCCTCTAACCACAGTCCTCCCTTCCCGGTTCATGTAATTCCACAGATGCAGGCCGTAGGAGTCTTTGAAGCTTGGGTCTGTGTCCCACACTTCATAGTAGCGCCGCCACTGTGGATAGGAAATGGGGTAAAATCTTTGGGGATGTAGGAAGGAAAAGTTTGAACACCTGAAGTCGCTCACCTCCTGGAAATTTTTGAGTTTGCACCACACTCTCAACATCCTCGTCATCAAAATGGGACCCTGGTTGCCCCAAATGTCCGAATTGTAGTGTTCAACAAAGTTTTCCATGCACTCCCATAGGAAGGAGTGGTGGGGTAGGAATCCAAACACCCCGTTACTAGAGTCCCGAGAAGCCTGTGCAGCCAAAAAGTTTTCCTCAGGGATAGGCCTGATAGAGATGATATCAGTGTCCATGTAGATGCCGCCGTACTTCCAGATGGTGGCCAGGCGGGATGCATCTGAGCTGACATAGAGCCAGTTTCTCTGTGCACTGGCATTGATCTGTAGGAAGAGGTACAAATCAGCTCCCAGTAGCAGGGGAAGAGAGAGGGGTGTCACAGCAGGAGGCCAGGCCCAGGGCAGCTGGGGAGGAGGAAGCAAGCCAGCTTCCCAAAAATCTGTTTGCCAAAAGTCCAATTTTGCAAATTTACCAAACTTACCTCTACCCCAAAAAGTTACCTTTAAGTAAAAAGTTTACAGCAATCAGTATCCATGGGAAGATTTTAGGAGCTATTAAAGATTTCATAAAATTGTTGAAAGAAAGAAAGAAAGAATAAAAAGAATTGAAGCAGTGGAAGGGTAAAACAGAAACCCAGGAGGGATTTCACAATGAACGGTGTGAGTCACTTTCAGCACAAACCACAAATATGAAACTGTGGAAGAAGAATTTTTTAAAGTCCTAAAAATACTAAAAACTGATAAAGAAAAAGATAAAGTAGGAAACTATAGGGAAAAGTCAATATGTATGTTATTTGAGATGCATGCATGCCTTCCTCACTAATTAACTCCTTTAATAGGATTCATTCATTGAGGGCCTACTTACTATGTGCCAAGCTCTGTTACAGCTGCTAAAGATATGTCAGTGAACAAAGACAAAAATCTCTATTGGGAGGAGATAGACAATTAACAAATAAACATATAATATGTTGGGTGTTCATGAGGACTATGAAGGAAATAAAGCTGGGTGAGGGGGCTATGAAAAGGGCAGGGCAGAGCACAATCTTATGTTGGATCCCAGCAGAAACTTGAGCAAAATGAGTAAGTGAACCATGCTGATATCTCAGAGAAGAAAGTTCTAGGGTAGAGGGAACAGTTAGGCAGGAACAGGAGGGAGGCAGCGTGACTAAAACAGAGTAGTGAAGGGAGAGAGGTGGGAGATGAGATCAGAGAGGGTGGGGTAGGGAGGGAGAACTGATTATATAGGCTGGGGTAAAGACAAATTATTTGAAAGGTTTGGAAGAAAGGAGTGTGTGATCTGGATTAGTCTTCAAAGCTTCACACTGGTCGCTGTGTGGAAAACAGACGGGGCAGGGGTTGGCATGTGGCAGAGGCAGAAGAACGGTGGCAAGTTAGGAGAATATCGAAATAATCCAGGCAAGAGGTGATGGTGAAGGAGGATGATAATAGAGGAGGTGAGAGAAGTGGTCAGACCCGGATCCATGGTCAAAATAAAGCCAGTAAGGATTTTGATGGATTAGATGACCGCAAATGCTAAAATGTGAGCAAAACAGAAAATAACTTTAAAAAGAATAGAAATAAATCATGATAATGGCAAAGTTCCCAAATGAAAGGCCAAAGTTTTAAATATAGAAAACAAAACAGATTTTTCTGAACTAAAATATGTTGATTAGAAGATTAAAGAGCAACCCTGGGCTTTTGACAAAACAAACATTCTTTAAAATTCAGCTATAAAGCCAAATGAAACAGAACTAAGACTTTGCAGAAAGCTACATAAGTTGTTCGTGTCATCATATCATATATAACTGCTGAAAACCTCATAAATAATAACTAAAATTTATCAAATGTTCTAAATTTATCTAAAACTGTTCTTTATAATCTATACAAATATTTAAAGATTAATATTATAATTACTCCAATTTTTCAAGTGAAAAACTAAAAGGACCAAGAAGTTCAGTAATATGCCCAAGGTCAGAGAGACAGAGGTTGGATTTGAACCCAGGCAGTCTGGCTCCAGAGATTCACTCATTCAAAAAAAAAAAACACGGTTTGGATAAAAATATGTTGATTGCTTGGTAAATTGGTGATTGTCAGACCCAGAGATACAGAGTATCAAAAGCTGCACAAAACCAGAGGAGGAAGAAGCCTGCGTTGATGTGGGCATTGGACTAACATCAGCCTAAAATCTCCAAGAGCTCCCCCAAGGGTGAGTATCAGAAAGAGGATTTGAGCTCTGGCTGCTCACCCCTCCCCTCCCCCACAATACTCATCCCTGAGCATCTTCAAGGGCTACAGTTCCCAAATCAATGCAGCAAATACAGTGGTTACCAGCAGGTAATGGCACATTGGGTCATTCCTAACAGCTGGCCCCCAGCCATTCTGAGGTGGCCTAACAGGGCCAGAACATGCCACACCCAGCCACCCAAGGGCATGGTGGCATGATCCCTGGAGATGCTTAGCCTTGTGTAGTATCCTGCAGACACTTAAGAGCTCTGTATCCCAAGGCCCACCTTGTCCCTAAAACTCAACATAGCAAAACCGAGGTGTAGCTCAGAGCAACCCAAGCTGTGTTCCATGGAATATCCGCTCCAAGAAAATATTTATGTCATACTGAAAGAGGCTTCCATACTCAAATATTAAGTTTGGAAAAGGCCGGATTGAAACAAATTAAAGTTTCTTTGGTTCAAAACTACACAGAGCCTTTAATTTCCTCATGTACAAGGTTAGTCTGTGAGAAAATGATGAGGTGTGCATCTCCCAAAATGATTTGAGTAAAGATGTCTTTTTCCAGGAAGCAAAACACTTTTAGCTAATGTTAGTCTAACGCAAGTGTGGGGAAAGTAGGCCTGGAGCCAGCAAGCTGCCTGTTCTCGTGCAGTTCCGGAGCACGCTCTAGCAGGCTAGCACTGAGAGTCGCAGGGACCTAGCGGGCACGTCCTTTCCCTCAGGTCTCTTCTCCACTGCTAGCACCTGCCTCCCTGGCCCACAGCCTGCCCTGCCTCTGCCTGGGGCCACACTAGTAGCCACTTGGGGGCAACTGCAGGTAAAATCCAGTGAGTCACTCCACCTCCCCATGACAGGTCCCAGTTTGAGACTTCCAGGCTTTTCAGGAGAAGAGATGCATGCACTGGGACCCAGAAGTCACATGGGGCCGAGAGTGAAACTGACCAATTCCCCCTCCAAACACACACACACACACACACACACACACACACACACACACTCGGTCCCATTGCTTAGTCCAGAAATGTGTCCACTGACAGTAACTAGGCACAAGTGTGTCTTCTGTCCAGGAGAGCTACCCAATCCCCAGGAGAATGAGGCAGGGTGGGACAGGAGTTTTCCTTTTTTTATGTATAGATACTGTAGTAGGCTGAATAATGGCCATGCAAAGATATCAGGTCCTAAGTCCTGGAAACTGTAAATGTTACCTCATGGGAAAGGGGTTTTTGCAAATGTGATTCAATTAAGGATCGTGAAATGAAGAGATTATCCTGATAGAGCTGAAATGCAATTACGAGTGTCCTTTAAAGAGAGAGGGAGAAGGAGAGTTCACACACACACACACACACACACACACACACACACACACACACACACACAGAGGAAAAGGGGATGTAAGTTAGAGACAGATTGGAGTGATAGGCTCTACAGGAAGAGTTCTTCCCTAGAGCTTCCCAGGGGACTGGGGCCGTGCCTGCACCTTGACATCCACCCCATCAAATGATTTGGGACTTCTGCTCTCCATAACGGTGAAGAAGTACATCTCTGTTGTTTTAAGTCACCAGGTTTGTGGTACTTTGTTACAGCAGCCACAGGAAACTAATACAAGTACCTTACGATGGCTTCAAGTTTGCTTCTTGGTATGCAAAACCTAAAGTATTTACTTTCTGGCCCTTTACAGAGAAAAAGAAGTTTGCTGACATTTGGTCTAGCCTATGATTAGAACTTAGATAGGACTTTATGAGGCAGGCAAATGGTATTATTTTGATGTCAATTTTTTAATTACTTTTATTTTTTAGTTATTTTATTTTAAAATTAATATATTCTCATCACTAAATTCACTCCTCATTCAGTTATACTAAAATGCCTACTATTATTGTGTATTGTATATTTTCTTCAGGTCTTTTTCTTTCATGTAGATGTAGGGGATAGGGAGTTGCATTATAATATAAGAGCATGTAATTCTGTATTATAGTCTTTATAAGATGTCACAGATAAGGCCTGCATAATGGAATCATTGAGTGACTATACTACAATTTCGTTATGCATTCCCTAATAGTGAGTCCCCTGTGAGAGAAATATTTAATTAAAACATTATTTCCTTATTACACTATGTTACTAAGATAAAGATTACAAAATTCCTAAGAGTTCCAGGAGTTTCTTGATAATAATATAACCCAATCTCATACAGCAGCGCTCCATCTGATCTTTTATGACTTTTCCATTTACATAATTTTCAAGTTAAATATTGCCTAGTTTCCCCCTCAGATGCAAAAAAAAAAAAAGTTTACCATGGATGGGATTAAAATTCTCAGTGAAAAATAAGAAAAATACACCTAGAAAAGATAAGAGTAGTCTCAAAAATATGCTGGCTCCTAAGAGAGCTGGAAGCAAAAGACCCATGGCAAAGATAAACCTAAGTCTCTCCTGTTTACTTAAATCAGGGCTCAATACTATAGAAAGAAGGCCAGGCAAAAGTCAGAAGATTTGAGTTCTAGTCCCATTTCTGACGCCAAGTCTTTACCCTCAGTTTGCCCAGCTATAAAATGAGTAGGACGGACTCATTTTCTGCGGTCCCTCCTAACACTGACATTCTAAGATTCTCTGAACACTTACTTGAGTGTACCATGAGAACAATGGTGTGTCTTCAAACAGCCTTTTCATATTTAAAGGGAAGAGGAAAACATTGTCTATTGCTGAGAGGAGGGAAAAGGCTGTGTAAGTGGAGTTTGGGGGCAGCTGCATGGAGTCACTGAGACCCTTCATAAAGAACGCCACAGGCTGCTCAGGATAAACCCTGGCAGCGGACTCCACAGCGCAGGAGACCAGTGGGGATGGCTCCACTCTCTCAGAGGTCTCTAGGAACACAATGATGCGTCCCTTGCCCAGGAGGGCTTCCGGCCCCTGCTGGAACTCATCAGGAGGCAAGCAGAAGTAGCAGCTGGACTTCAGGGTGAGCTGGTAGAGGAAGCCACATAAAAGCAGTAGGGTGACTAACAGCAAGAGCTGGAGCTCCTTCAGCATGTCCGCTTCTCTCTTCCGGCCCGCTCCTTTAAATCAATGCGATTAATTAAACGTTACATTTACGAAACCAGACAAAGATAGCACACAAGTAAACGATACAAGGATATCACTTCTGAGCTTAGGTTTTAAAATCTTAAGTAAAATATGATCAAATCAAGCCTCTCAATACTAAAAATAAAAATGTATTAACTAAGGTTTAACTGAGGAAATTAAGGGTGATTCGAAATAGGAAAATAATTCGTTAATAGAAAAACTATTAGTGGCATGCGTTATCTTAGCAGATTAAAGAAGAAAAGCCATATGATCATTTTATTTCAATAGCTGCCAAGAACAGGATAAAATTTGACATCCACTCATGATTTTTAAAAAGCACAAAGAAACTTTCTTAAGCTGACAAATGATGTCTACATAAAGCAATCATCATGCTTAATATGAAGCATTTGAAAGATCTCCGTTAAAACCAGAAATAAGATACAGATGTTATTATCACTGTTACTATTCAACATCATTCTGCTAAGTCTAATCAAGGCAATGAAACGAGAGAAGAATTTCTACTATGAATATTAGAAAGGAAGAGGCAAGAATATCACTAATTATAAAAAATATGATTGCCTACTGAGAAAATGCAAGATAATTTACCGAAAAGCTAACAGAACTAAGAAAAAAATTAACCAAGGAAGCAAATTGAAGGCTAGAGTTAAATAACTTGCCAAGATCACACAGTTAGCAGAGCCGTGACTAACTCGGATCTGTCTGCTACCAAAGCCCAGGCTCTGAACCTCCTTCTCTGTAAATGTTAGCTCTGTAAATGTTAGCTCTAATTCTAGCTAACTCCAGGAGAGCAGAGACCTGATTTTTTCAGTGGTCTGTTTTTCATATTCCATACAACTTTTTTAGAAAATGCGAAATTAATGAAATAGAAGAGCTTACCTTCTAGCCAAGAACTTGCAGTTAGCCAATATCTGAGGTCTTAGCAATGACAAGTTTTGCCTGCTATACTTTCTGATAAATCACCACCTAATCTTCCAATTCAACAATACTGGAGGAAAGTAAATCTTGGCAGACGAATAACACAAGAAGTTCCTAGGAAGCTCCTCCCTTTACTAAGTTTCAGGTGGCCCACATGTTAATCCTGCCTATTCATGGATCTATCCGGAGGATTCATAGGGTGATGATTTCACCTGGAGAAAACTGTATATAACCCTGGAGCCAAAAGATAGTACATCTGAGCAGTTGAGTTTCAATCAAAATCATGAGCAGAGACGTGGGAAATTCTCCTCACCAGACAACTCTGTAATTTGGTCCAAACTTTGCAAATACAAGTTTTGATTAAAGGAAAAGAAAATCCATCACCATAAATAAACAATGGACAACCCTAGTAGTCCTGGTGATCTGAAAGAATTGATTCTCCAGTTTCAGCTATAGTGGCTTCAAGAAGGGTCTTTTTGCCCTGAGGTCCCCCTTATGGGACATAGCTTCCTCCTAGTCCACAAGGTCAGGTTCATTACCCTCCATGTGGCAATCCTCACACCTCCCAAAATTGTATTCTTCTGTGGTCTGCTCCCCAGTGCCCTTGACATGAGTAATTCTTTTTAGAGCCACCCTCACTCAGAAAGTCACCTACCTTCAGTCCAGAGCCTTCTCTCAGCCCTGAACAGGCATCTGCAGTTTGCCCTGGATGCTCTGGGCCCCTCTTGAGCAGACTTTGGATCCTGACATAACAGGTCTTACATCAAGGGGAGGTAAATCTGTCCCACTCACTGATGGCTTCTTGTTTTCTGTGCCCAGGGTTCTCCAGAAACTGTTGTTCTTCGGGTGTTTAGAGCTGGTATAAAGAAAAGGCAACACAGGGAAGGGGAAAACCATGGAACCAGAGCAGAGATTTCCCCAACTCTCCAGCCCTATAGGTAACCTCCGATAACCTCAACAGGAAATAGTTCAGCTTTGAGCCTACATACTCCCTCTGCTATAATGGACCCACTGTATCAAGAAGGAAAAGTTAAAAGAATTTTTAACAATAAATGTTTGTCAAACTGAATTATACGTGCAAAGCACGTCTCTTAATTCTGTAGCTTCTTTGAACTTCAATTTATTGCAAGAAGGAAATATTCAAACCACCAATACTTGTCCTATTTACTTTGGAGCCCTTGGAACCACAGTTCCGGTTTTTAACATATTTGTTATGTAAGTGGGACTGATAAACTTGTTAAAGCATTCAGCTATTAACAGCGAAAAACCAATACACAAAAGTGATACCTTATCAACATTGCCAATTCCTTTCACCACTGTTTTGAAGCTGGAATGAAGACTGGAGACCTGGGTTTACATGACTGGAGAGGAGATAGCTAGACAGATTACCTCTCACTGCAGAGTGAGAGGTAATCCATAGCTTAACACTTGGGAACCCATAGAAGAACAATTGAAGCACAACGAGGGAGTGACATTATCAACAATAAATCCTGGGAAAAAAATTTGTTTTCTGTTTTACCAAAACTCAGGGATTCATACCAGCATAAAATCCCCTTGTCCCATGGCAACATTTTAAACCGTTCTGCATTTCTAAGAAAATGGTTCTAGCCTTGCATTTCTGGCAATAACACTTTTTATTCTCCACTCAGCCATGCAAATCAAACATTCACCTTTTTACAAAACCTTACATAACTATCAAGAATGTGTTTCTGGGTTTGTTCTGGAAATTACTGTGTTCACGCATGTCATTTCCTCCCTTTTAAAATGACTTGCAGATGAAAGAAGGGGTGGGGGATAAGGCAGATGGTAAGGGAAAATAATTGTTCTCAGTGAAGCAGGTGTACTCCAGACACCATCCTTTCAGGTTGAAAAACAAGATCTTCAAGAAGCCTACAGAAAGCGATGGTGCCCGTCCGAGAGTGGAAGGCGGTTTGAAGGCGCTTCGCTTTTAAGTCTGTAAGTCAGTGTTTTAGTTTCTTCTTTCTGTCAGGGATTAGAAACATCCTAGTGCCACCTACGCCAAGTGTCCACATGACAAGGGATCTTTATAAAGACTGAGTGGGCTGTGGGAATGAACACTACCCAATATGGCTGAAAGAAACTGTTACAGACTGAATGTTTGTGTACCCCATCACCAGCAACACTACTGCCACCACCATCAAAATTCATATGGTAAAGCCCTAACCCCCAATGTAATGGCATGTGGAGAATGGGGCCTTTTGAAAGTAATTCCATTTAAATGAGGTCATGAAGGTGGGATTCTTACAAGAAGAAAAAGACAGATCTCTGTTCCTCTCCTCTCCTCTCCTCTCCTCTCCTTTCTTTTTCTTCTCTTTTCTTTTTAAGTAAGAAACTTGAAAACTTTATTGATGCCAGTACCAGCTCAGCGGTACTTATCCAAAGGCTGAGCTTTTCGTTTTTGTTTTTAGTAAAGTATAGTTGACATACGATGTTATATTAGTTTTAGGTTCACAACATGGTTACTCAACTCTCTCTCTCTCTCTCTCTCTCTCTCTCTCTCTCTCTCCCCCCATCCCGTGAGCATTCACCGAGGAAAGGCCATGTAAGAACACAGTGTAAAGATGCCTATCCACAAACCAGGAACAGGGGCCTCTCCAGAAACCTAATCTTCATCTTGATCTTGAACTTCCCAGTACCAGAACTATGAGCAATAAATTTCTGTTGATTAAGCCATGAGCCTGCGGTATTTTGTCATAGCAACCCGAGCTAACTAAGGCAGAAACCCCACAGTAAGTTTCTTCTCTTTAATCTCCTTCCACATGTTTTCATGAGAATCTATTTTTGAGCCATGGGCGAGATGGGAACTGCTTTTAAGACTTACAGAACTGAGACCAGGTCTCCAGTGGGAAAAGGGCAACTTCTTCTCTAACAGAAACCTGTAACAGGTGGGACGGTCCTCCCTGCCTGAGACCTCTCTGCCTGCCCTTCCTTTGGTCCTTCCACACGCCCCTCGGTTTGTTCTCTTGTTATGCCTTTTCTCTTCAAACAGAGGTCTCTGGTGTCCCTTAGCTCAGTGCCTAACAATCACATGCACCCAGTACCCAAGTCAGAAATCAGGGAGTCAATTTTAACTCTTCCTCCTCATGTGGAAGCTATGCTAGTTCAAGAAGCAGACACAAAGACAAGATTAACTGTGCAAGGATTTTATTAGGAGAAATGTCTGCGTGAGAGAAAATAGGAAAGGAGCTGTGTAAGGCTAGGGCGGCTGTCACATCACAGTGCAAGTCTAAGAAGCTTGGGTGGAAGTGCCCTAGGCTGCCTTGCCTAAGGCTGTCCTTGTCTAAAGGTTTAGTGATGCCATCAGGGACTCCTCAAACCAAAGCCAGCCACTAGAGGAATCCTGTGTGTCCCAGGAGCAGGTCTACCTCCGTGTTCTTGCTACACACAGTCATTGCTGGGAGAAGCCTGAGGAAGGAGCGGCCTCAGCACAACTCAGTGATGTATTTCATAGTGCAGCAGCTGGGACCTTTTGTCAGTTATGCTCTCTCCGATTGGAGGTTCACAAGGCACGTTCTCATGGCTGCCACAGTGTACCCTAGGAGCTAACAGATCTACTTTTATACATAGTTTGGGGGAGCAGTGCTCCCATGGTTCCCATAGGTCTTTCCTCTTGAGGGGAAACTAATAAAGGAGGTTCGTGGGATGAACTACAGCCCCTGTCACTGTAGTTAATCTCAGGGCTGCAACTCATCTGCTCCCTCCTCCAATATCCCTTCTCCCTCAGAAGTCACCTCATCAGGTGTGGGTAGCTTAGCTGGTTTTACAAGTCATCTTCCTGCAAGTGCCTTGATAGTCATACCCTTTCTCAGTTCAGGGTTACTGCACAGGTCTGTTCACAGTTATAAGGGGGCAGAGGAGTACCAGGAGGCCCCAAGTTGGATCTCCTAGTTTCTGTACATATTCTCCCTGCTGCTATTATGTAAAAGCAGCCTGACCTCCTCCTGCTGATCAGGGTCAATTATTTGCTGGTCCCTGGGCACAAAAAGTCCAATATGCCATGCAGTAGTTTGTAATTCAATGAGTTCCTTGCAG